AACACGCCAGGCGATAGCACATTCACCCGAATCGGGATATTCCTCTCGGCAAAGCTCGTTCCCAAAACAAGGGAGAGCTTTTCCAAGGCGACTTTCGTCGAGCTGTATGCGAGCTAAATAGAGTGAGCCAAGCTCAAAAGGATTTTTCCAGAGTACATACGGATAGAATGGTCGGCGAAAGGTTCATTTTTGCTAATCCGCTGCTGATGTTGATGACGCTTGACGTGCCTTGAGGTCGGGAATGCGCTCCTTTGATGAGGAGGGATTGGAAGGCACGGACAACAAAGAACGGGGCGATGGTGTTTATCGCGAAGATATCAATCCAATTCTGTACTGTCTCGGGTTCAAGTGGATCCGCTGCTGCGAGCTTCTTTGCAGCAAAGTCTGGGTCACGAAGAGATCTGGCAAATCCTGCGCTACAAAGTGGTTAGTGAATGGAGGAGCAGGACCGAGGATATCATAGACACGCACTTGTTGACGACAATATCAAGCTTTCCGTCGATTCCGTCGATATGCTTAGCACCAGCCAAGGTGCTTTCTTCATCTGTCACATCCATCTGAAGACTGTGTATGCATTAGGAATGAATATCCTGGAGAAAGGACCATCACTAACGGGACAATGGATCCTGAGACGCCAGTTACAGACGCGGCTGCTCTCTCCAGCACTTCTAGTCTTCTGCCAGTAATATATACTTTCGCGCCATTGGCAGCAAAGGCTTTAGCAATGGTAAATCCTCTATCAAAGAATCAACCATAAGTCATAATCGAGAATTCCAATGCTTACATCCCTGTCCCTCCGCCTGTAACGAGACCAACTTGTCCAGAAAGCGACATCGTGGTAGCAATATTAAGATCTGCCATGCTCAAGCAATGTTGAACAGTCTCTGCATACAATCCTTTTTATTATAGCATGTTGTTGGGCGTTATTCAGCAGTACCGTCACTATATCTCGGTGAGGGTAAACGGATAAACGGACTGCTCTGGTATTTTGTCACTCCAGTACCGTCAGCAATTGTGACAAAAATAGTTCCTTCTCAGGCTCGAACAGCAGCGTGTCGGCTCTTGAACGCTTTAGGTACCACTTGCCAGTGCGCAACTACTACTCCTACTAATCATGTCAGAAGAAGATTCTTTATAGTGGATTCTTCATGCTCTTGCACGCGACCCACCTGAGAAGTAAGCCGACTAACTGATGCTGGAACCTCATTCGAGCATTTGTTCATATACTCTGGATTCGGCCAACCGGGTAGAAGAACAAGTGAACAGAAGGGCGACCTACGGACAAAGCTTTCAGACAGGATGAGTCCGTGTCTACCGTACTGGATCAGTTACCCTCGAAGGACTCTTGCAGTAGCCAATGGAGGCCGTAAAAGTCACCAGAAGAATACTACATCATGGTACATTCTAACAGAAAGCCTCCAGCTGCGGAAGCTCGGACCTGAAGTAAGTGCAATCTCAGAAAGATGAATGATACATACCTGGCCCGCTGTGATACATCCGTACAGCATCCTCAACATCGCAGGGTATACAGCGTGAGGTTGATCTCTACATCCGCGCAAGACTCAAGATTGGTGTATACTGCGCGAGATTTTCGAGCCTTGGAGACTCAGTATCGAGAGTCAGTCGCGCTGGAATTCTCATCCGTGTACATGCACAAGGATATTGTTGGGATTTGGCAATCCGGCATCATGCCGAGTCTGCTTATTAAGGTAGAAGTCGTAGGAAAAGCGTGGAAAGTTCTAGTAAAAGTACATTTAGTATAAAAGTAGGTACTTTAGCGTAGATCCTCATGCGTTTGCAGAGCTCAGCCAAGCGCAATACTATTGGCTTGCTACCGCGCATGTGACACTGGGAACGAACCGATACCCCGTTTTCCAACAGATATTTCAAAGTGAAAATTCCTGTAAAATCATAATGTTAGGAGTCGCGTTCACAATAGATCTAACTCACAGCGCCGATGCCACGGCAACATGACTTGTCATGTCAGGGCTGTGGACCCGGCCGTTCCTGATTGGGACCTTGTGCCGGTACCAACACCAACACCATCGTGTCATTGGTCAGTACCGACGTTCCACGAGAGTCCTATGGAGACGGGTACTCGTTCAGACACCCAACCAATGCACTGGACCAACATGTAATACGATATAGGCGAGTTTTTGTAGTGGGCATAAGAACTCAGAAGTCGAGAAAGTTGTCGGGACTCGGCAAATTGGTCAGGCCGGTCCCTGTTTTCCCATTTCAAATTAGGGACTCGTGAACACCTCACGGCATACACAACACATTGATAGTCCTTTGATGATGAACCTCTCTCATCGCCAGAATGCTCACTTGCCAGCCTCGGGTGTCAGTTTGAGACAAATCTTACTGTTCTTATTTCCAGCAAGTCCAATCGGCTACTTCGCGTCAATGCGATTCCTTCACGCTGATATTGCATGTTGAACTGCTCCCCGATTATCAAGTACGATGTCAACCGCCAGTACTACTACTCGGCTGAGATTGCCTATGGAAGGACTTGGCTGTACACCAACAGAATATGGGCTTCACAAATGAACAAGATCTCGCAAATGGGAGTTGGGGAATGGATAATCTGGAATTATTTGTGCGCTTGGGTTTGATCCTATGGTAGGGCATCATTCAAGTGTTGTTACTGTACCCGAAACTACTGGCGGAAGTATCAGCTGTCAAAAATTATAAGGTAAACCAGTTTCTTAGAGCAAGACTTGGTATAGGCAATTACCTCGACGATCTGAAGAATTGAGGTTTCGGTGAGCCACATAATACACATATGAGACACGTTATAATGGCACATAATCTTGGAATAGATATATTCTCTTATTAAGTACCTCTGAACGGCAGGCAGAAGGGTGTTTATAATGCCAGTTTACTGAAAACAGATCAGTCAATGATTCGGACGTTCATGAGCTCATGGGGGTCAACTAATAATTTCTATTTGGCAAGCTAGCGGTAAATACGTTCGAGGCCTGCGCACAGATCCGCCATCGTCAGATAGCAGCTGCCTCAGGACCAGACTCCAGCAATTCAGAACTTAGAAGCTACAACGGAAAAGTCATTTTTCTTCTATTAAAGCCGAGGGCAGGACATTGGGTAATCAAAGCATCAAGGAGTCACCAGTGAGATTCCGCCATCGATACTCAAGATCGTCCCGTTCGTATAATCCGATGCTGCCAAGTACACCGCCGTCATCCCCATCTCTGCCTCGCTATAAACTCGGATCAATATCACATTACACCCAAGTAGTGAAAGAAACTCACGTCCCATGCCTCTTCGCTGGCACCGCCGCCGTCATTCCAGGCAGCGGCTTAGTCTTCAGCAACTCCAAGAACTCAGTACTCGTCACATCCGACGCAAACACGCCAGGCGCTAGGACATTGACCCGAATCGGGATATTCCTCTCAGCAAAGCTCGTTCCTAAAACAAGGGTTAGCTTTTCCAAGGCGGCTTTCGTCGAGCTGTATGCGAGCTAAACAGAGTGAGTCCAAGCTCGAAAGGGTTGCTTTTAGAGTACAGTACAGACATAAAGGGCGGAGAAGTGTTGAACTTTGCTGTTGCAGGCACTAATGTTGATGACGCTTGAGGTGCCTTGGGGGCGGGAACGTGCTCCTTTGATGAGGAGTGATTGGAAGGCGTGGACAACAAAGAACGGGGCGATGGTGTTGATTGCGAAGATGTCAGCCCAGTTCTGCACAGTTTCAGGTTCAAAGGGATCCTCTGCAGCGTATTTCTTTGTGAAAAAGTCCGGGTCATGAGCAGATGCAGGAAAATCCGGCACTACACAAAGATTAGTTTGGAGGAAAGGGAGCTGAAGGTATAGTAGACAAACTTGTTGACAAGGATATCGAGCTTTCCATCGATTCCTTCGATGTGCTTTGCGCCAGTCTTGACGCTTTCTTCATTTGTCGCATCCATCTGGAGACTGTGTACGCGTTAGTAATGAATATCCTGTAGTGAAAGGACGATCACTGACGGGACGACGGATCCTGGAACACCAGTGACAGATGCTGCAGCTTTCTCCAGCACATCCAACCTTCGGCCAGTAATGTACACTTTGACTCCATTGGCAGCGAAGGCTTTAGCAATGGTTAATCCTCTGTCAAGGTATCAACCATGAATCATAGTCGACAATCCCAAAACTTACATTCCCGTTCCTCCGCCTGTAACGAGACCGACTCGTCCAGAAAGTGACATCACTCTAGCAATATTGAGATCCGTCATGTCGAGGAATGCTGAACAGTCTCTGCATACAGTCCTTTTTATTAGAACATGTTGGGTGTTATTCAGCAGGACTGTACCCCGGTGAGGGTAAACGGGCGGCTTTGGGATTTCCGTCACTCCAGTACCGTCAGCAACTGTGACAAAAACTCTCAGGCTCCCATGTCAGCTCTTATCATGTCAGAAGAAGAATCTTCATAGTAGATCATTCATGTTCTTTCATGCGACGCACCTGAGATGCGAGCCGACTAAGAGATGCCGCGACTTCATTCTAGAATTTTCCTATGGTCGGTTCGGTTAAATGGGTGGAAGAGCAAATGAACAGAAGAGCGACCTACGGACAAAACTTTCGGTCAGGACGAGTCCGTATCTGCCGTATTGGATCAGTCATCTTCGAAGGACTCTTGCAGTAGCCAGAGGTGGCTATAGAGTCAACAGAAAATACTAAATCCCAGTACGTTTCGACAGCCTCCGGCTGTGTAAGCTGAGACCTGAAGCAGGCACGAGTATAAGTCCTCAGAAAAATGAATGATACCTCGTCCGCTGTGACACATCTATACAGCATCCTCACTATGGCAGAATGCACAGCAGGAGTTGATCTCTCTACATCCGCCGACACCGATTAATTGGCACCGCAAGACCTAGGGTTACTGTGCGAGATTTCGAGCCTTGGAGAATCAGTATTAAGAGACAGTCGCGTTAAAATTCTCATTCCGAGTTCCGAGTCCTGTGTATACAGGATTCTCTATGCTAACTTGAGGATCTCGGTGGCGGTGCATGACGGTGGTGGTCCGATAATTCGCCGTGCCGGTCATGCCGTGTTCCCTGCTTAGTAATACCCTACTTATTAGCATCGATAGGGCTGCAACTCGACCAGCTGAGTAAAGACAATCTGTCCATTGCAAGTTGCAGGACTTTTTATCGTGACAGATCCTTGGGAATGCAGTAGAAGGTAAGTGAATCCATACGCATATCCTGTGATACTGAGGTCGCTGAATGGATGCACTATTATCGGGCTAGGTGCCACTTACTTATCTCTTTACTTCAATATCATACGTTCTAAGATTTGCTAATGTTTTCTGGCAGTTTCAGCTATAGCCTCCGGTCAACCCAAGCTGAGTTGCTCGAAGGTAACTGAGCCGATATACTGAACGCGCACTCATCCTGACTAAAACTTGGTCCGTAGTTCGTTGTCTGAATCCAGACCATAGAAACAGATGGCATCCGTTACTACTAATCGGTGTACTTCCTAGGTGAGCTGCGTCAAAGCATGAACAATCACTGTTCAAGAATTCTCTTCTGATGTGATACTAAGCGTTCAAGAGCCGATAGAGAGACTTGGGCCCGAGAACTTTGTCAGAGTTGCTGACAGCACTAGTAAGCAAAATGCAGGTAATGAATGCCAAGGCCGTTATTCACTGCTCTGGCCTGGATACACTCTCGCTGAATAATACCAGAGAAGGCTGCAATAAAAGAGACCATATGCAGACTCGACCGTTCGATATTCCTCGAACATGGCAGATCTCAAGATGGCTACGGTGATGTCGCTTTCTGGACGAATAGGTCTCATTACGGGTGGAGGGACTGGCATGTAAGCTCTACGATCCTCGGTCACCATTCACTATTAACCCTTTGACAGAGGATTCAGCATTGCCAAAGCCGTTCGCTGCGAACGGAGCCAAGGTATATATTACCGGCCGAAGGTTGGACGTACTGGAGAAAGCCGCCGCGTCTGTCACTGGCGTCTCAGGATCTGTTGTCCCGTTAGTGATGATCCATCTCCAGAATGCTCGTTGTTAACACACATGCAGACTCCAGATGGACGTGACAAGTGAAAACAGCGTCAAAGCCGGCGCACAGCACATCGAAGGAATCGATGGCAAGCTCGATATCCTCGTCAACAAGTCGGTCTATGGTGCCCCTAGTTCCATTCCTCCGTACACTAAACTCTTCACAGTGCCGGATTTGCTGCATCTCTCCGCGATCCAGACTTCATCGCGAAGCAACACGCCGCAGAGGATCCTTTTGAACCCGAAACTGTACAGAACTGGGCTGACATTTTTGCACTAAACACGATCGCCCCATTCTTTGTCGTACGTGCTTTCCAATCCCTTCTCATCAAAGGAGCGCATTCCCGCCCTCAAGGCACCTTCAAGTGTCATCAACATCAGCAGTGTAGCAGCAAAGTTGAACACTCCGGGATCATTTGTATCTGTATGTACTTCGAAAATCCCTTTCAAGCCTTGACCAATTCTATTTACTAGCTTGCATATGGTCCAACGAAAGCTGCTTTGAGCAAGCTCACCCTCGTTCTGGGAACAAATTTTGCTCAGAGGGATATCCCGATTAGGGTGAACGCGCTGGCTCCTGGTGTGTTTGCGTCACAACTGGTTGGCCCCAATCTTTTAGAGGCGATCAGGACTCGACCTCTGCCTGGGATGGTCGCGCCGATTCCTGCGAAGCGGCAGGGAACGTGAGTAGTATTTTCAGTGGTTGGATGGGATTGAACGTTCATTTGTGTTTGCAGAGAAGCTGAAATAGGGATGTCGGCGGTCTATTTGGCTGTGTCCGACTATACGAACGGAGCGATTTTGACCGTCGATGGCGGAATATCGCTGGTCAATCCGTAATCGTTGGATTATCTGACGTAGAACCTTCATGGAATTAAGCCTGTTTCTTACCCTGCCGTCATAGACCAGCCTCCAATGCCGGGCGACAACTACGTCAGCCTGCAATATCCCAATTAGCATTCACCATCGAAATGATGTGTTTGTCGTCATTGTCATCGTTTAGTTGCTTTATACACCTTGTGCCGTTTCGTTTTGAAATCAGCAAACTTGAAGAGAAGCAAGAGCTTCTCAACTTCTGGGTCTGAATCTTCGTTGTCAGACATTTGGAACATCCCCGCTGGGAGCCAATGGTGTTGGTGTTGGCGTTGGTACCAATGGTATGCAAAGACTCGGGAGGCGCCAACGATGGCACAGGCAGCATTTCGCTCACTCTAATTAGGATATCTTGCAGGACAACACCGTATCGACCGGTGCCTGCAATCCCATGTAGGAAATGTACAGGTTATCTTGGACAGTGGTGATGTTTACAAAGAAAAACAGGCGTAATTCCATGAAACCTTCTACGTCAGATAATCCAAACATTAGGGATTAACCAGCGATATTCCGCCATCAACAGTCAAAATCGCTCCGTTCGTATAGTCAGACACAGCCAAATAGGCCGCCGACACGCCCATTTCAGCTTCACTGCAAGCACAAATCAACGATCAATCCCATCCAAACACTGAAAATACTACTCACGTTCCCTGCCTCTTTGCAGGAATCGGTGCGACCAACCCAGGCAGAGGTCGAGTCCGGATCGCCTCCAAAACCTCGGGGCTAACCAGTTGTGACGCAAACACGCCAGGAGCTAGCGCGTTCACACGAATCGGGATATTCCTCTGAGCGAAACTCGTTGCTAGAACAAGTGTGAGCTTGTTCAAAGCAGCTTTCGTCGCATTGTATGCGAGCTAGATCAAGGTTAGCTTGCGTGGGCTAAAAAGGATAGCAAGAGCATGGCACATACGGAGGACAAGGGGCTTGTCGAGTTTGCCTCGGCTGCCACGCTACTGACGTTGATGACACTGGAGGTGCCTTGGGGGCGGGACTGCGCTCCTTTGACGAGAAGGGACTGGAAGGCACGTACGACAAAGAACGGGGCGATCGTGTTGAGCGCAAAGATATCAGCCCAGTTCTGGATGGTTTCGGGTTCAAAAGGATCTTCTGCAGCATATTTCTTTGAGACGAAGTCCGGATCGTGAAGGGAAGCAGCAAATCCAGCACTACGAGGACGTTAGTGTATGGATGAGGTGAACAGAGGGCACCGTTGACGAACTTGTTGACGAGGATATCGAGCTTGCCGTCGGTTGTTTCGATATACTTTGCACCAGCCTTGACGCTTTCTTCATCTGTGACATCCATCTTCATTCTGTAACCGCGTCAGGCTGGACGAATACATGGAGAGAGAGCTGCATACGGGACAATGGATCCTGGAACGCCTGTTACTGACGACGCCGCTTCCTGTAGCACGTTCAGCCTTCGACCGGTGATGTATACCTTGGCTCCATTTGCAGCGAAGGCTTTCGCAATCATAAATCCTCTATTAGAGAATCAACTGTGAGTCGTAAACGAGAATAAGGGAGCGTACATTCCTGTTCCTCCGCCTGTAACGAGGCCTACTCGTCCAGATAGTGACATTGCTGTAGCCACAGTGAGATCTGCCATATTTATGGGATGATTAAGGCCTCCACACGCAGTGCCTTTTATTCCAGTACCGCCTAGATGACATAAATATGGTCTTATTCAGCGATGGCGTATCCCGGTGTGTGCGGTAAATGGGGGATTTACATTTGCAAGAGACCGCCCATCTTCCCTAATACCCGAGCCAGCGTTGTGACAAATTTTTGGGGCGGCTGTCTTATCTACCGGCTCTTGTACGCGCGTCGTCTCAAGCTAAGGAACTTTCGAGCTGATGATACATTCTCTTCCACGTATGCCGTGCTCGTCGCGAAGAAATCGTATGAAGACGGCGAAAGAATGCAGGGACAGGAACCGTATGGGCTGAGAGACTTTGAAACAGAAGCTTATTGTGAACGAAAACACATTTAGTCGAGTGATTGCGATATTGATTCCGTTGCCGCTTACATTCGTCATCATATCCCATGAGTAAACTTTGAACGGTTAAGCGGTACCACGATGCATCACCTAATCGGCGTAATAACGCAAACTGTTGACAGACTCGCCCATATCTATAAGCCGGCTGCTCCAAGGACCGGCACACTGGATGGACACTTGCCGGTGTCGAAAATTCCCCGCCTGTCTATCTCCAGGAGCTCAGGAAGGCCGAATATGGTTTGACGTATATCTGTCTGCCAATGCTCGTGTTGCAATGCATACAAGAGGTCCATTCCGTTGGGTTTCTTCAAAGACGTTCAGCCACTAGGTTATTGAATAATTTGAAACCAACGGCAGGGCAGAAGAGTATCGAGGGTAACGCCCTGGTGAAACTGCAGATGGAAAGGGACTGAGGCATTGTGAATGGATTCTCTCTTCTTACCGGAGAAATTTCTTAGACAGGTCGAAAGGGAAGTTGATATGGGAACGGAAAAAATAATATGGGACATACCAGAGTCTTCGCCTAGTCTTTCGCGCACCGTTGCCCCTTCTTCCTCAATGTTGACCGTTGCCTGAGAAATTCTTGGGGAAAATCTTTGCTTTCGCAATCTCAGTTAGGGCAGTGAGCTCTGCCAGATTCGGACTAGCTGAGCGTCTGATTGTTTGAAGGATTCTTCGGATTCGTCAGTCACAGCGGCTCCGAGGCTGAAAAGAGGAAAAATGAGTATTCAGTGGGTGATGGTGATGGTGTTGGTGTTGGTGTTGATGGTGGTCAAAGCGTATTTCAAATCCCGGTCCGCTGTGCCGTCACCCCAGGAGGATGAGGGAGGATGCCGAGAGAACCACAGTGATAGAAAAGATGCAAGAACGCCAGAACTCCTTGAATGATCTCGCTCGCGTGGATCCATACATGACGGCCCCTCCCACAGATGCTCGTGGCGACACAGCGTTTTTGAAGGCTTTGCTGTCAGATCGCCCATCCGTTGAAGTAACCGCAAAGTTCCGCTACCGTGCATTGAAAAACGTCTACAAATTGCCGATGTACCGACCGCAATGAAGGGCTGCTAGTCCTAGCCCTTGAGGCCTCTGACTGGACCTTAGGTTTTACCCAGCAACATTAAGCTGACCGTGAGCTCGGCCTCTGCAGGTCTGGTTGGAGGTATCAGTAGATAATTAAGTACGTCTCTGTTATATTAGCGTGTTAGTGTACCATTGATGTATTATCTACGCCCGGTGGACCGTGCCGTATAATAGTACCTACCTACCTACCAACTTGAAACAGAAACTCACTACGAGCGAAACTCATTTGAGTAATTGTAGCGCCATCGACTACACTAGTCAACACATAAGTCTCGGTCCTAGCATCGTCTCAAAGGTACTACTATCATTAATTACGATAAAACTCTTACCCTCAAGGGTACCTGAGAGCCTAAGTGCGCCTTACCTTTCACAACGGGTACAACAGCCGGCGAGCCAGGGAAATGAAGAATCTCAACACCTCCCTCAGGCAAACTGAATTCGAAGTGTAAAAGCAGGTTAGCTAGGATTGTTTGCATTTCCATGATCCTGGATGTCACCAATCAGTTTGAATGAAACGAAGGAGGGAGGTGCATACGCAAATCGCCACCTACGACAGAGGAAGAGGATTAGCAGGAGAACAAGATGGATCATAGTAGCAGTTACTTACCCGATGCATGAATGAGATCCCGAGCCTCAACGCCGCGTCAGTTGGAGCAAAAGCTTCCTTCAAGGTAACTCACTAAAAGACATCCTAACATTCCCCCAAATAAGTGTCGAGAGCGTACACACGAAACCAAGATTCTACTCACAGATTAGCATACACACCCAGTGATACAGGTAATGTCTTGTCCAAAAATCGAGTCGGGTTCCATTCCTCCGCATCGGCTCCCCAGAGAGATGGCAGACTAGAAATGGTTCGTGTCAAATTTGCACTGAAGCGATATAGGAAGAGCGTACCGGTTGTATAGGTAAGCAGAACAAGCAAACGTCTGCCCCTTGGGTACTGCAAGCGTCTTCCCTTCGGAGAGAGATAGAAAATCATCGTGAGGGGCGGTACGTATAAAGGAATGCATAATTGGGTGCAGACGGAGAATTTCCTGCCCCCAGTGATCAGCGCGTGGATCTGACGGTAAGTAATGTCTAATTATGCTTACTTTAATCGCAGCGTTCAAAAATGGCATAGAGTCGTAGTCGTTCGATTGTTTGAGCTCTGCACGGATTATGGACTGATGCTCAGGATGCATGGCGAGTTCGTATAACAACCAGGACAGACTGGTGCTCGATGTCTCGAATCCGGCAATGACAAAGGTCCTAGAACGAAAGTGAAAGGCTTAATCCGACGAAGGAAATGCAACGAACATTAGCTGCGCCTCAATCTCATCATCCTGCATAGTGCCTGCTAAGCGCGCTCTCGCTAGAGATGAAATTGTATTGACAAGCGTATTTCGGTAAAAATAACGAACCAACCTAGAATATTGATCATGTCTCTATCATCGTCCGGTGTCGGCGCCCCATCAAGGTTAGCCATGACTTCTCGAGTAGTTTTCTTTGCTAAGCTTCCGACGCTGATGAATTGGCGAATCTCTCGGGTTGGGATCAACCGTAGGAATCCTAGTACCGAATCTGGGACCGTTCGTATGAAGGCTACGAGAAGATATTCTAGTGCGGTTGAATTGGACTGTGAGGCTGTACTGAATTCGGATATTAGATATGACAGTTATTGAAACAAATAAAAGACTCTTTTTACAGAACATGTCTTATCGCTTGTCCCAACTCGGTGTTGTGACCATCAAGCGAACCAAAATTGTACCGGAAGGTGGCTTTTGGATGTCAGGCCAATTAGTGAGAGGATTGTATGTGTGTCACTTGCCTAGTCCGATTATATCTAGGGTGGTCTTGCCTGTCCAATCATGAATATCGACAGTTTCCTCTGTACGTGTCAGAGATCCTTTGATACCATCCGCAAGCTATGATCGTCATCAGCTTCTAAATATTACCACATGTATTGATGCGGATGAACCTACTTTGTCACTGCACTGTTGAAAGATGACTTGGGAACTCCGGAGGAGTACAGGAGAGAAGGCGGGATTTATAATCTTGCGTTGGCGGCGGTGTGTTTCATCTAAATGCGCTAGGTAGTATGGCCTCTCATAAAAACTCGACTGGATAAGCACTCACCATCAGCGCTGAGAAGGCCCTTTCCAGTGACAAGACCCTGGATGAACTTATTGTCTTGCGATTTGGGATAGGGATTCGAAGGGTGGAAAATATGCTCCAGGGCCTTGGGATCACACACAACCAGAATGTCTTGCTGCGAATATTTGATTTAATCGTGACCAGAACAGAGGTACAGAGGTTGCTTACACCGAAACAGCCCCCAATGCGATAAAGGTTGCCGTATTCCCTGCGCCATTTCGTTTCGAGATCACCTGCATTATTCTGATCACGGAGGATGTGTTCGTGGCCTGGTTGTGCGGTGTGTGAACTCGAGTTTGTGCTGAGATACATGAATGAGAGCTCACCTAGCCAGAAAGAGGGCGATGGTGGTCCCTTGACATGCTTGACCGACGGTCGTTTGAGCCACCAACGAAGTAGAGAGGCTACGAGAAGCGACGCGACTACAACGAATAATGTGGCCATGAGAAGAAAGAAGTGGGACTCCTCGAGTTAGAGTCAAAAGATACTTGCACTCTCGACTTTTAGGACGCTCCTACAGTCAAATGCTGATTGAATGGAACGCGGTAAGCAGTGCCAACGTATTCATTCTTGCACCCGCACCCCATCGGGAAGTGGAGCTTTCTTATGGTATTGCTAATCGCTCCAATATGAGTGCCTGTCCCTAACAGATAGGTTTCAGCTGATTCTATGCGGATTCGGCAGCACCATGCTCGATCCATCTAATGATGTTCTTGAGAAGGCGTTTAGACCATTGACAAGCCTTTTATTTTAGACCATGATAACGAATGTCCAACAATTCCTCCGACCTTCATGGACAACATGAGGGAGGCGAAAGACCATCTTCAACAGGTTACTCTCATAAGTGCATGAAAAACCTATCAATAGCGAGTTATAATAACTATAGATGAGCGAAGCATGACCTAGACAAACTCACTATAGAATGGATGTATCTTGCGGCTTAACGCTAGCCTGTCCCTCTAAGCAGGTGGTGGACAGTAGACAACTCCACAATGTCCTCATGTGCCCAGCGGAGGAGTCAGCGATGACACGGCTTTGCCTACTCAACCAGAACGACGTGTGCGGTGCATGATGAATTCATGTCGAAAAAGACCGCCTACGTTGCCTCATGCCTTCAGCACTGTGAAGAAAACTCTTATTCTCAGAGCTATGATCCTATTTATCGGCTCATGGATGAGCCCGTCGAAGAGGACGCCCTAGTAAGACCAGAGGCTCACACATTGCGAACGGATTCTCTCTTCTTCCCAGAGAAAATTCTTATGAAAATCGGGAGAAAATTTGACATAGAACGCAGAATAATTATGTACGAGACACACCATAATTTTCCCCAACGTTTCGGGCACCATCGCGCCCTCTTTCTCAATGTTAGCCATACTTATCGAAGACCGCTGCTTTCGTGCTCTTGGTTAGGTAGCTGCTGCGTTCTGTTCCGTTCAGCCCTTGGGCCCTGTTTGCTTGATAGTTTCTTCAGATTCGAAGGTCCTCGTGGCTTTGAGGCTTAAGAGAAAGAAACGGGCTGGGTTGCAGTCAAAGTTATATTTCACATCCGGCCCGCTGTCCCGTCACCCCTTCTTACCTGCCATCATCCTCCAATGCCGGGCGACGACCACCTCCGCTTGCAATACATCGATTTCCCGTGTTCTCCGTTCATTCCCAGCTAGCAACATTCACTAGCGAGAAGACATGAACTGACCTCCTACAAGTACCGAACTATTTGGATCCAGCGCATTGGGTTGTGCTCATCTGAACAAGAACTCCGACACGACTGACTGTTCATTCCACGTCGTCATGGCCATATGCGCTCGGAGTCTCGCACCATATCCGCCCAATCATGACTTTGTGGTGTCGGTTAGTCCGTGGATGTGGATGTAAAGAGGCCAAATACGAATGCGAGCTGGACTTCACGCTTGCGATATTGAGGTGGCTGCATGTATCACATCGGACTAGGTGGCATTGATCTTCTTCGCGTTTCAGTTATACTCATGCGTGTTTCAGGCCTTAGCTCTGCACGCCGCCGGAAGTGAGCCATTGCAAGGTAACTGATCCAATATTTCCGACACACACTCATCCTGACTGAAGCTTAGTTTGTAGCTTACCCGTTAGTTCATTTATTCTTTTACCCTGCTAGTCGAATCCGGACTATCGGAACAAATGCCCTGGTTGCAGTATCCGTTAATCGGCCCACCTCCCAGGCGATTCGCGTGGAAGAGCGTTCAAGAACCGATAGGGAGCATTGAGCCCGAGAAACTTTGTCACAGTTGCTGACTACTGGCGGAACGCGGGCAACGTTGTCGAAGTCCTGCTGAATAATACCAAAGAATGCTGCGTTAAAAGAGGCCATGCAGACTCGATTGTTCAGTTCCCCCCGAACATGGCAGATCTCTTGAATGTAGCTACGGCGATGTCGCTTTCTGGACGAGTAGGCCTTGTTACAGGCGGAGGAACAGGGATGTAAGCATTGGGTTTCTCGATTATGACACGTGTGCTGATTCTTCAACAGAGGATTTATGATTGCCAAAGCCTTCGCTGCAAACGGTGCGAAAGTATACATCACAGGGCGAAGGTCGGATGTGCTGGAAAAAGCTGCGGCATCAATCACAGGCATCCCAGGATCCATTGTTCCGTCAGTGATCGTCCTTTCTCTACATATTCATGGCTAACACGTACACAGACTCCAGATGAATGTGACAGATGAAGAAAGCGTCAAGGCTGGCGCAAAGCTTATTGAAGGAATCGATGGCAGGCTCGATATCCTTGTCAACAAGTTTGTCCATGGTATCCTTAATCCCCTTCTTCCATAAGCTAATCTTTTTGCAGTGCTGGGTTTGGTGGCTCCCTTCGCGACCCAAACTTTGCCGAGAAGAAACTCGCAGCGTCAGATCCATTTGAACCCGAGACGGTACAGAATTGGATGGACATCTTCGCGCTAAACACCATCGCGCCGTTCTTCGTCGTCCGTGCCTTCCAATCCCTTCTCATCAAAGGAGCATATTCCCGCCCTCAAGGAACGTCGAGCGTCATCAACGTTAGCAGCGCGGGGGCAAAGATAAATACACCAGTGAAGGTGGGCTGCGTACGTGCCCCTACCATTCCCTTCAAGCTTGCCTCGGTTCTAACCTGGTTTATTAGCTGGGGTACGGCCCGACGAAAGCAGCCTTGGAAAAGCTCACTCTTGTTCTGGGGACGAGCTTTGCCGGGAGGGGAATCCCGATCCGAGTGAACGCGCTCGAACCTGGCTTGTTTCCATCGGAAATGGCCACTCCTGAGGTTATGAGTATGATCAATGCGGAGCCATTGCCTGGGTTTGGGGCTCCCATACCCGCGAGGAGACCAGGAACGTGAGTATGTTCAGTATATGGAGGGGATTGGATACTGATTTGACTCTTGTTAGCGAGGCGGAGATGGGAATGACGGCGATCTATTTGGCGGTATCTGACTATACGAACGGGGCGATTTTGAGTGTTGATGGTGGGGTGGCGTTGGTTAATCCTTGAAGAGCCTGATCTTTGAATGAAATCGGATGAGTTCTTTCTAGGGGAAAGATACCCATGCTGTGAAATCGCGACCTAACCCTAACCCTAATGGAGCGGCAAGGGCGACACTCAAAAAAAAAAAGTGATTAGCGGTCAGTCATTCAGCTAGTCCAGAGTATATCCCTGCCAGCCATTGGCAAAAAGGAAGACTTGAACCAGAGACACTTTATTTGCCGTCAGGCTACCAGACAGCGCGGAAGACACTGATCAGATTCAGACCAGGAAGCTTACTTCCCTCCACGGTCAACGGTTGTAGCAGCCATGCTGTCATGTCGGAAGCAGCAAAATTCCACTCACGGGAGGAGGTGATCTTATAGTCCAACATCCACGATTCTTTGCTAGAAGCAACGTCCACTCTTTATAAACGTCGAACGCGCTATCACAGAATTCGATATCTACATAGAGAAGCACGTCGACCTTACTACCACCACACTCGCCTGCGTCCTCGTGCGAAAAGGCTATCGTCAAGGATACGGAGTAACCGAGGAATTCGTGACGCTCGGGCTGATGATCTTGAAAGGATCCGTCACGGTGTCGATTATCTATCTGTTCAACGATAGTAAGAGGCAAAATAACGGGCACCCGTTGAGGTCAGAAGGCAGGATAAACATGAGTGTCAGCTGAGCGCTAGTATTCTTGCTAGTAACGGATAACAAGACAGCAGCTCTTGGACGCACGTTGTATCAAGCAAACGAACCTCCGCAGTGATATTTCATTCCATTCGACACATAGCGTAGAAAAGGTCTTCGTGGGCAGTTCACTCGAATGCGGCGAAAGACTGGTGATGCAGACGCAGACGCCATACTGAGACGACCTTGACCTTGGTTTCATTCAAAGATGCTCTGCCACTATGTCGTTGAAGCATTGAAAACCAATCGTTAGATAGAAGACTGTCGAAAGCGACGTCCCAGACTCCCAGTGAATCCGGTGTTCCAAGTCGAAGGAGTCTAACACGTTGCGAATAGATTCTTTCTTCTTCTCAGAGAAGTATCTATATGTGTCTTCCAGATAATTGATGTAGGACACAAAAAAAGAGGTACGTATGGACTACCGTATTTTGCGCGCCATCCTTCCCCCCGGCCTCAATGTTAGCCGTCGCCAAAAGTCTTATCGTTCGTTGTTCGTGCTCTTCAATGGTCAAATCTCTGTCATCTTGTAGTCTTCAAATTCGATGGTTACCGTAGTTTTGAGGCGGTGAAAGAAAGGAACGAGCATCCAGTGAAGGTTGATGATGGCGGTTGCGGTCAAACTTGAATTTCAAATGCCGACACCAGCCACCGTCGTCATCGCTGTTTGTCGGAACAAATGCCCTAGTTGCAGCATTCGTTAATCGGCCCACCTCCCAGGCGATTCGCGTGGAAGAGCGTTCAAGAACCAATAGGGAGCATTGAGCCCGAGAAACTTTGTCACAGTTGCTGACTACTGGCGGAACGCGGGCAATGTTCAATGTCGAAGTTCTGCTGAATAATACCAAAGAATGCTGCTATAAAAGAGACCATGTAGACTCGATTGTTCAGTATTCCCCAACCATGGCAGATCTTTTGAATGTAGCTACGGCGATGTCGCTTTCTGGACGAGTAGGCCTCGTTACAGGCGGAGGGACTGGCATGTAAGCATTGAGATTCTCAATTATGACTCGTGGTTGATTCTTCAACAGAGGATTTATGATTGCCAAAGCCTTCGCTGCCAACGGTGCAAAAGTATACATCACTGGCCGAAGGCTGGAAGTGTTGGAGAGAGCAGCCGCATCTGTAATTCAGGCTGGCGTCTCAGGATCTATTGTCCCGTTAGTGATCGTCCTCTCTCTAGCATATTCATGGCTAACATGTACACAGACTCCGGATGAATGTGATAGATGAAGAAAGTGTCAAGGCTGGCGCACAATACATTGAAGGAATCGACGGCAAGCTCGATATCCTCGTTAACAAGTTCGTCGATAGTATCATTATAGTCCGTCTTTCGCACGCGAATCCCTTTGCAGTGCCGTGTTCAGTTCCTCCCGCGATCCAGACTTCGATGCGAAGAAGCTCGCAGCATCAGATCCATTTGAACCAGAGACAGTACAGAATTGGATGGACATCTTCGCCCTAAACACCATCGCGCCGTTCTTTGTCGTCCGTGCCTTCCAGTCCCTCCTCATCAAAGGAGCACATTCTCGCCCTCAAGGGAAATCGAGCGTCATCAACATTAGCAGCCCGGCGGCAAAGATAAGCCCACCAATGAAGGTGGGCTGCGTACGTACTCTACCGTTTCTTTCAAACTTGACTCGGTTCTAACTTTGCTTATAGTTGGCGTACGGCGCGACGAAAGCAGCCTTGGAAAAGCTCACCCTCGTTTTGGGGACGAGCTTTGCTGGGAGAGGTATCCCTATTCGGGTGAACGCGCTCGAGCCCGGCTTGTTTCTGTCGGAAATGATTACTCCTGAGGTTATGAGTATGTTCAATGCGGAGCCATTGCCTGGATCTGGGGCTTCCATACTCATGGGGAGACCAGGGACGTGAGTATGTTCAGTACATGGAGGGGGATTGGATATTGATTTGACTCTTGGTAGTGATGCGGAGATGGGAATGGCGGCGATCTATTCAGCGGTATCTGACTATACGAACGGAGCGATTTTGAGTGTTGATGGTGGGATAGCATTGGTTAATCCTTGAAGAGCCGGATGAAACTTGGATGAGTTCTTTCTAGGAGAGAGATACGAAACTGTGAAATCGCAATGACCAGTCTGGCTATGTGTCACTGCTCTTTTGAATTCGACGACTCTGGGACATTCTACTGTATGGAGACAAGTAGCTCTTAATGGAACGGCAAGGTACGACATAGAACCTGACACATAGCAAGTCCCTGGCAGTGGATCTTGCGATCGTTCACGACACTCGAAAGTGAGGAGCCGTCAATCTAGCAGGAGTCAAATCAATATCCAATCCCTTCCAAGCAATTTTGACCATTGATGGTGGCATATCGCTGGTCAATCCCTGATTGTCGGATTATCTGACGTGGAACTTTCATGGAATTAAATTTGTTTTCATTTTCAAACACCACCACCGTCCAGGATAACCTTCACACTTCTCGCGGGGATTGCGGTCACCGGTCGACACGGTGTTGTCCTGCAAGATATCCTGATTGGAGTGAGCGAGGTGCTGCCTGTGCCATCGTTGGCGCTTCCCGAGTTCTTTGTTGAACAGAGTTGAAAAATATATGTAACATACCATTGGCTTCCAGTAGGGACGTACCAAAATTCTGACAACGAAGATTTGAAAACCAAGAAAGTGGAAACCCTTGCGTCTCTTCAAGCTTGCTGATCTCAAAACGAAGCGGCACACCTCGAATAACGACTGTATTTCTGACTCGAGCAAATTCACAACTGAAAAACGTCATCTGTCCTCCACTAAGACGAGGTAGGATATACGTAGTGTAACCAGACCATCAGGGATTCACCAATGTAATTCCACCGTCAACTCCCAAGATTGCTCCATTCGTATAATCTGAAGCCGCCAAGTACACCGCCGCCATCCCCATTTCGGCATCGCTAGTAAGTCAGATTAAATCACCTCTAAGTACCACAGTAATAAAGACACTCACGTTCCATGTCTTCCTGCCGGTACAGGAGCTACCAAGCCAGGCAGCGGTTTAGTCTTCAGCGACTCCAACAATTCACCAGAAGAGATATTCTATAAGGAATTACAATGCTCTATAAATATCCGCTATGCACAATCTATGTATGAATCTATCCAAGAAATGAAGGTCTAAGCATATATCTGTTATCAAAGCGTGGTATATGTATCTGTTTCCGAAAGAGCCCAAGAATGTGTGGTCCAGAAATAATACGGTTCAAACCAAAGTTCCAGCATCCGAGTGGTTGTCAGCAGTAACCTTCTCATCCACAGTAAAAATGTAGTCCTTGAGAACATCTTCATCTTTTGCGTTGAAGATGAGGCCCTTCCAAATCGCCTTGACGGTCAGGACGATCAAGACCAACCAAGTGAGAAAAAGAAGGATGGCCATGACAACGTGGACAATGAATAGACCTTGAATATTCAAGATTTTCCCGAGTACACCTGTAGTGGAGATCCATCCCGCTGGAAGACATCATAAGAACGCAGCACGACAGAAATGAAAACCACTCACCATTTGGAAATGTCAGAGCCCAGCCTTTTCCGGGGCCATTGCATTAGCATTTTATCGCGTGACAGATATGAGTACTCACATCCTAATATCTCGTCCAATCTTTTGTGGAGCTTGAACCAGTACGGTATAATCCCAAGGAGGAAGAGGAAGACGGCCAAACCATAGAGTAAGAGGGCTGCCATCACACTTGCAGCATACCAAATCTCCCCGACAGCATTGGATATGATGCCATGCGCCGGTAGACTTCAAGCAATCAGCGATCGTGAGACAGAAGAAGGGGAACCGGGTCGGCTTACATAGCACTAGCGTGATCGGCTAAGTTGATTAAAGAAAGGGCAGTGTAACCTGGAGGGCCGCAAACAACAAAGGTACTACTGGCCTGGTATCCTTTGAGAAAGCCCGTCTATACAGTCGCTGAGCCAAAGCAATACCGCTATAATGCTGATGCATACCATGACAAGTCTAGGATGCTCAAGTCAGTTGTGATAGTTTTGCATGTGTTTTCCAATTTACCGCAACAGATAAATGCCAATATAGAAGAAGGTCATGAAGAACCCGAGGCCTAGCGCAGAGATTAGACAAAAAATTAGGAGGCATATAAAGCTTACCTTGGAAAAAGTACCCGATAAACAATACTCCCAATGCTCTGGGGTCCGAAGGGTCCATAACCCTCAGAACATTGAATGCGACAACCCCAGTAAGCATCTAAACAAATGATGACTGGTCAACAGCATATCTGGGCGACAGAGAAAGCGCAATACCAGAGGAAACACCTGCGGTTTACATGTTAGAGGGTCAAGAGATTTTTAAGGAAGTCATCTTACTAAAAAAGCATAACTGGGTGTGAAGCGCAGTATGTCGTGAGGTTGATTGAACCAGATCATGAGCATTGGGAAACAAGTCGTCAGAGACAAGCCCACGTAAATCCTGGAAGATGTCAAACTCGAGCTCGAGTCGTCTAGATATCTGCTCACCAAAATAAGACATACACGACGTTGCCGCTGGCGGGTCCATTAATGACTGCGTAGTTGATTGTCCCGATGATGATCGTAGCAAACGATAGCGCCTGAGTAACGCTTATTGGTTGTGGACAGTCCATAGTGTATGACGCACCATCATCGGAGGGAAAAGCCCTTCCACCGGATCTTGCAGCAGACGCCAAGCTCGGTGAGGGAACTCTGAGATTACCATTAGTATTTGCTATATGTTCGACCCACAAATCATAACGCACCGAGCGCTTGGACTGACAGTGCAATGACGTTCAGTAGGAAAATGGCCATGTTCAAAGACCAGAACCCGGTTTCTACCGACGTCAACCAACTAGGATGCTCTTTCAATTCAGAGAGAGTCACGAAGACAGCGCCCGTCCCCATTACAATTGGAAACTAAAAGTTGTTCATCGGCTAGGCGCACACCGAGAAATAGAGAATGCGTACCGACTGCCAGGACCAGCCATGTATGTGGCGAGCAAGTGAGCTGGCTCTATTCGGTGTCTTTGTAATAGTAACTTCAGCGATTTGATTGAGAGACATCGAGGGAGGAATTGGTACAATGAGAGAAAGCAGTGGGAGAAAATGTGTGCTACGACCTCAGCCCTTTTCACTCATTCCTGTCATGAATAATGCACAGCAAACACACTGGCCGAGCATCCACGGCCGTTGCAATGGGCCCCATCTGAGAGCTTTTTGCTATTTTTGCGCTGCGCTCTGTAGATAAGACGCCCTTTTGGGGGGCGAACAATGACAGCAGATGCATCAAACACCCAGTCCTGACCACGGAACGAAAAAAAACGTCCAGCAAAGTTTCATAACTCCAGGTTCGTTGGCTCTGCTCCGAGCATGGATTGGGTACCGCAGCGAGACGTCCGTTCTGAAGATGTGCCAGTTAACTTCCCACACTCATTACGAGCACGCTGCGCTCGGTTCTGTCACTAGCAATATAGTCTCGGTTGCGATCATGCCTCGCAAATACTAGACGTTTTTTGCTGTCAAAGGTAATTCAAAGAGCGCTGTTGGAAGCAACATGCTGGATGAGGGAACTAATGGGATGAGAGCTGGAACAAGAGCCAGCGCTAAACCCGCGGATTCCCGAAGCGGGAAGGGCACCGCCACCACGTGAGAAACTACGACTTGTCGATCGCTTTCCTTTCCTTTCCGCCTCAGTATATATGACTGCGTACCGTTGAACATCCCTCAATTCATCGCTACAAAACCAATTATTCTGTAATGACGGAGAAGAAAAGGAAACGTCTGATTTCTGGTTTCGCCCGTTCTGGCCAGCGTTCTATTATTGTGAGTGGGGCTTTATCAGAATCAGATGCTATCAAGTGTCGTTCAAAGGGTGACCGGCCCTCCTACCCCTTCTGTGTCTGTCGGTTTTCGGAGCTGCCAAAGTGTTGAAGGATGCTTACCTTGCCGTATTCAATTTGGTTCATGACCCTGTCCGCCTGTTAACGTGCCGGAGAATCGAAAAAAAACACGTTCTTGAACCGTAGACGCTCAGCGCCGAACCATCATCTGCTTCTTCCCTTCTCCCTCATATACGTATGGCAGTCATATCGACACCCATTACAGAACTCTTTGGCATCAAGCACCCGGTATTTCTAGCTGGAATGAATGTAGCCGCTGGGCCAGAGTTAGCTGCTGCTATTTCTAATGCGGGGGGCTTAGGAGTGATTGGGGGACATGGATACACATCCACTATGTTGCGGCAACAGGTGGATACCTGTATTCTTCCGTGATGACACCTAGGTTGGCAGATCAAGGCCATTAAGAAAGACCTGAACGAACCCGGCCTTCCCTTCGGTGTTGACCTTCTACTCCCCCAAGTCGCGCGAAAAACCAATGTAAAGCTTCGAAACGTTCACTTTTCCATATTTTGATAATGGCTTCAGTACGACTATACCAAAGGTCAACTCGACAAACTTATGAAGCGGTGGGCCATCGCAGGGCACGGCAGATCCGTGTCCTGAAGATGGGGTGGGCTGCCCTGCGTGGGGGGCACAATTGGCGATTTGAATCATGTTCAACGTCGAGGCGGGAAAACGAAAGAAAGCGAAGAAGAGACGCATCGTTTGACATTTGAACCGACTTGAAGAAGTAATCTGTAAGAGGCCGGTTCATGTCTTGCGTTTCGTCAGAGAAGGCTGCAGGCTGGGAGGAATGGATAACATGATATTCAGAGAAACTGATGTATTGTAGGGTGAGATAGTCGTCCGAGTCGCTCTGTGCCGGAGCAGGTAGGAAGCAGCGGGATAGCGGACCAAATTTGAAATGCAGCTTCGACTGCAACCCCCATCTTATGCTCGTTTCTTCCTCCTCAACCTGAAAGCTATATTTCTCTGAAGAAGAGAGAATTCACTCGCAATGCACGAGCCCCTTTTGACCTTCGGTTCTACCAGGATATCACCCTCACCGCTCTCCTACCGAACGATTGTCTTCTAATCATTCATAAGCGTGGTGGATGAGCCTTCTCGGACACAAACAAGGGGCCATCTTATATGCAACGTATCACACGAGTTTTACTGGAACCGGCAGACCGATAGTGCAGAGATAGATCGGGGATTCTTGGCACCAGAAAATATACATCTGCTGCACTGGACCCGGGAGCAACCAGCTTACCGAGATATGGGCTAGTCTGTCAACAGTTTGCCTCGAATTCGTGTTACCACGCCGTTGATCGGAGGACGCGTCATTGTACCGCTTACCTGTTCGAAGTTTACTCATGAGATTTGGTGACGAAGGTATGCGACGACGGAATCAATATTGTAATTACTCAATTAAACGTGTTTGTTCGCAATAGTCTTCTATTTCAAGGTCTCTCATCCCATATGGCGCCCATCCCTGCACCCCTTCACTGTATTCGAGTGAATTCTTCGCGACGAGCATGACATGTGAAAGGGAACCTCTGCCTGACACGACACATGTACAAGAGCCAGTAGATATAATGGCTGCCCCGAGAACAGGAACTTTCGTCACAATGCTGATGGGTATCAGGGAAGGCAGGTCATTTTGCAACGTAAATCCACCATTTCCCGCATACGTCGGGATACGACCTCGCTGAATAAGACCAGGTAATTATGAGATCTAGGCGACGAGCACTGGAATAAAAGGCGTCACGTCCAGAGGCCACTCGGCATTCCTCAAACATGGCAGAGCTTCATGTGACTACAGAGATGTCGCTTTCTGGATGAGTAGGACTTGTTACAGATGGAGGAACTGGAATGTATGTTCTCTGGAGTTTGGTTCTTGATTGCGACTCATCATTGACTCTGACAGAGGATTCATGATTGCGAAAGCCTTTGCTGCAAACGGGGTGAAGGTATATATCACTGGGCGTAGGCTGGATGTACTAGAGCAAGCTACGGCATCAGTTACAGGCGTCTCAGGATCTATTATTCCGTAAATAGCCTGTCTCTCCCTCATGGTGTTCGTTTCTAATGCCCCTACAGGATCCAGATGGATGTTAATGATGAAGGTGTTAAGGCTGGGGCCAAGCACATTGAAGGAATCGACGGCAAACTTGATATCCTTGTTAACAAGTTCGTCCACGGTGCCATCAGGTCGCCTCACCCGTATTCTAACGTCTTTGTAGTGCAGGATTTGCAGGATCCCTTCACGACCCAGACTTCATAGCGAAGAAGCTCACGGCGAGATCCATTTGAACTTGAAACCGTCCAAAACTGGGCAGATATATATTTTCACTCAACATGATTGCCCCATTCTTCATCATACGCACTTTCCAAGCCCTCGTCAAAGGAGCTCGGTTCCGCCCCCAAGGCATGTCCAGTGTCATCAATGTCAGTAGTGCGACGGCCAAGATGGACTCGACGAGCCCTCTGTTATCTGTATGGGCCATGTCTTTTCTTTTCAGCTCTACACTAATCTTGGTTTAGGTCGCATACAACGTAACGAAATCTGCTTTGAATAAGCTCACGCTTGTTCTGGCAACGAATTTTGCTGGGAGGGATATTCCGATTCGTGTGAACACGTTGGCTCCAGGCGCGTTTCCGTCACAGTTGCTCCCTATCGTTTCTTGAACGCTCTTCTACGTGAATCGCCTGGGAGGTGGGCCGATTAACGGATGCTGCAACTAGAGCATTTGTTCCGATAGTCCGGGTTCGACCAGTAGGGTAGAAGAATAAATGAACTAAAGGGCAAGCTACAGACCAAGATTTAGTCAGGATGAGTGTGTGTCCGGGATGTTGGATCAATTACCTTCCAATGACTTACTTCCGGCAGCGTGCAGAGCGAAGGCTTGAAGCGCGCATGGGTATAAGTGCAACCTCAAAAAGATAAGTACCTACCTAGCCCGATGTGATACATGTAGCCGCTTCAATATCGCAAGCCTGAAGTCTAGCTCCGATTCGTATTTGGCCTTTTGATATCCGCATACACGGACTAATCGACACTGCAGAGCCAGGATTAAGCGGATGTCGTGCGAGACTCCAAGTTCACATGTCCATGACAACTTCAAATTGAGAGTCAGTCGGGTTGGAGTTCTTGTTCAGGCCATATCACGTTTCCAAGGGTATTTTGAGGTAACAAACCCTGTAAGTCGCGTTAGGAGTCGCGTTTACGACAGATACAACTCACATTCACTGCCCATCTGGTCAAGCTGCAGCCCCGTCGGTATTAGTGTATCACTTGTTGGTGCTTATGTCCCAAGCAAACGCCTTCTGGTACCACCCAATGCGCTGGATCGAGTAGTTCGGTACTTGAAGGTGCGTGAGGTCGGTTCGTGTCATTTCGCTGGTGAATGCTAACTGGGATGTATTGCAGGCTGAGGTCGTCGTCGCCCGGCATTGGAGGCTGGAGTCCATGATGGCAAGGGGTGACAGGACAGCGGGCGGGATTTTGAAATACGATCTTGCCTGCAACCACCCCTCCACTAAATGTTCTTTCTTTTCTTTTGGTCTTGATGTCATGGTAACCGTCAATTACGAAGAAAATATCAAATGCGGTGATGCCATTGAAGATGGCAGAGCTCTGCGTCCCAACAAAGAGAGCGAAAGCAACGATTTCCCCCAATCATCCCTGGACAACAGTTAATATCGAGAAAGAAGGGCCGATGTGTGTGAAACACTGGAAAAAGACTCTGGTATGTCCTGTATATCTTTTCTGTGTCCTGTATCAACTCTCGACTTGTCTAAGAAATTTCTGTGGGAATAAGAAAGAATCCTTTCGCCACGGGCTTCTACCTTCTCGGTTTTCGTATCTTCGTTGTCAGAAATTTGATACGTTCCCACTGGGAGCCAATGGTATGCTACATATTTTTTTTCAACTCTGTTCAATAAAGAACTCCGGAGGCGCCAACGATGGCACAGGCAGCACTTCGCTGACTAATCAGGATATCTTCCAGCACAACACAATGTCGACTGGTGGCTGTCATGGAATTACACTTGTTTTCCTTTTCCGCCACCATCACGCCATGAAAGTTATACGTCAGGTACTCTAACAATTAGGGATTGACCAGCGATATTCCGCCATCAACGGTCAAAATCGCTCCGTTCGTATAGTCGGACACAGCCAAATAGACCGCCGACGTCCCCATTTCAGCTTCTCTGCAAACACAAATGAACGTTCAATCACATCCAAACACTAAAAATACCACTCACGTTCCCTGCCTCTTCGCAGGAATCGGCGTGACCAATCCAGGCAGAGGCTGGGTCCTGATCGCCTCTAAAAGATCGGGGCCAACCAGTTGTGACGCAAACACGCCAGGAGCCAGCGCGTTCACACGAATCGGGATATCCCTCTGAGCAAAATTTGTTCCCAGAACGAGGGTGAGCTTGCTCAAAGCAGCTTTCGTTGGACCATATGCAAGCTAGTAAATAGAATTGGTCAAGGCTTGAAAGGATTTTCGAAGTACATACAGATACAAATGATCCCGGAGTGTTCAACTTTGCTGCTACACTGCTGATGTTGATGACGCTTGAGGTGCCTTGAGGGCGGGAATGCGCTCCTTTGATGAGAAGGGATTGGAAAGCACGTACGACAAAGAATGGGGCGATCGTGTTTAGTGCAAAAATGTCAGCCCAGTTCTGTACGGTTTCGGGTTCAAAAGGATCCTCTGTGGCTTGTTGCTTCGCGATGAAGTCTGGATCGCGGAGAGACGCAGCAAATCCGGCACTGTGAAGAGTTTAGTGTACGGAGGAATGGAGCTAGGGGCACCATAGACCGACTTGTTGACGAGGATATCGAGCTTGCCATCGATTCCTTCGATGTACTGTGCGCCGGCTTTGACGCTGTTTTCACTTGTCACGTCCATCTGGAGTCTGCATGTGTGTTAACAACGAGCATTCTGGAGATGGATCATCACTAACGGGACAACAGATCCTGAGACGCCAGTGACAGACGCGGCGGCTTTCTCCAGTACGTCCAACCTTCGGCCGGTAATATATACCTTGGCTCCGTTCGCAGCGAAGGCTTTGGCAATGCTGAATCCTCTGTCAAAGGGTTAATAGTGAATGGTGACCGAGGATCGTAGAGCTTACATGCCAGTCCCTCCACCCGTAATGAGACCTATTCGTCCAGAAAGCGACATCACCGTAGCCATCTTGAGATCTGCCATGTTCGAGGAATATCGAACGGTCGAGTCTGCATATGGTCTCTTTTATTGCAGCCTTCTCTGGATATTATTCAGCGAGAGTGTATCCAGGGCCAGAGCAGTGAATAACGGCCTTGGCATTCATTACCTGCATTTTGCTTACTAGTGCTGTCAGCAACTCTGACAAAGTTCTCGGGCCCAAGTCTCTCTATCGGCTCTTGAACGCTTAGTATCACATCAGAAGAGAATTCTTGCACGGTGATTGTTCATGCTTTGACGCAGCTCACCTAGGAAGTACACCGATTAGTAGTAACGGATGCCATCTGTTTCTATGGTCTGGATTCAGACAACGAACTACGGACCAAGTTTTAGTTAGGATGAGTGCGCGTTCAGTATATCGGCTCAATTACCTTCGAGTGACTCAGCTTGTGCTAACCGAAGACTACAGAAACTGCGATAAAACATTTCTTGATTGCTGGGCCACTGCAGAGCCAGGATTAAGCGGGTGTTGTATGAAGCCTCGAGCTCACATGGCCACGTCGACTTTGAATTGCGAATCAGTCGCGTTGGAATTCTCGTACACATTCACTCACCTTCATTCCCAAGGACCTTTCTAGTAAAAAGTCTGGTGTATTGCAGGCTGAGATAGTCGTCGCTCTGTGCCGGAGTAATCCGAGCGAAGGAAACGGCGGGACAGCGGACCGGATTTGAAATGCAACTTTGACTGCAACCACTCTCCGAGTTCTGCTCGTTTCTTCTTCCTCGACCTCAAGGCCATAGTGACCGTAAAATCTGGAAAATTGTCAAAAATTAGACGCCCAACATGCCCATTTTATGACCCTTGTAAGGAATTTCTCTGCTCACAATGCGTCAGCCTCTTTTGACCTGCGGCGGTTCTACTAGGATATCACTCTCAGCGCTCTCCTACCGAACGATTTCAAGTTTCCTCTAATCTTTCATAAGCATAATAAGACCGAGGGAACGGCCTTCTTATATGCAGTGTCACAATACACGAGTTTCACGGGCAGCGGCAGACCGATAATACAGAGATAGGTGGGGAATTCGTGGCACCAGCAGATATCCACCCATTACTCCAGACCTGGAAGCAGCCAGCATACTGAGATATGCGTGAGTGTCAACAGTTTACTGCGAATTCGTGTTATTACGCGGCTAATTGGTGAATGCATGACAGTACCACTTACCCGTTCGAAGGTTACAAAGGTAAGCGACGATAAATGCGTCTGTTTATCTCTTCCACACAATGAGTCTTGCGAACATCGTCAACAGCTGCCGCCATGCACTCGAAAACGTGAGTTTTTCTTGTAGTTTTTCCCTTTGCACCTTAACATCATAACTAATTTATATGAAGGTTACATCCGCCTCATTACCATCTGCCCTTGTATAAGAGACTTTGCCCCTTCGCAAACCTCCCTACTTTTAAACCCATGACGATGACATTGAGTACTTCTCTTTCTAGCTCCGGCTTCTTTCCTTACGGCTGATCAAGCTAGAATTATTGCCGTGCCCGTCAATGCCTGCACCGTCGCCTACTAGGCAACCGGAGCTTATCCTCGTAACCTTGATGCGAATGCTTCCATATTCAGTACTAGGACTTCTACGATTGGCTCCGATCCGAGAAATACGTCAGCTCCTCAGCGTAGAAAAGGTGGCTAAGAAAATAGCTCGAGAAATCATGGCTAGACGTGCAGACGCCAGAAGGTGATGGAGATACAGTCAATATCCTTGGTGAGTTCATTCTTTTCATTCAATACACCTATTAACATGATTTCATCTTCAGCGGGAGCGTGCTTAGCAGGTAAAATGCAGGATGATGAAATTGAAGCACAGCTAATGTTCGTGAGATCTCTTTACTTGTCCTTCATGATGTAATTTCCCCTCATTCCAAGACTTTCGTCACTGCTGAGCACGAGACATCGAGCACTAGTATATCATGGTTACTTTACGAACTCGCTGTGCATCCTGAGTATCAGTCCAGAATTCGTGCAGAGCTCAAACAATCAAACGACTACAACTCGATGCCGTTTTTGGACGCAGCTATCAAAGTGAGCACGGTTAGCTGTATCGGATGTCCATGCTCACCTCTAGTGACAGGAGTCTCTTCGTCTACACCCAAATGTGCATTCCTTAATGCGTACCGCTCCTCATGATGACATTCTGCCTCTCTCCGAAGGGAAGACACTCGTGGTACCTAAGGGGCAAACATTTACTTGTTCTGTTTACCTGTACAACTGGTATGCTGTTCACATGTCGCTTTAATGCATGTCTGGTGCCAACCTTTTCTAGTCTTCCATCTCTCTGGGGAGACGACGCGGAAGGGTGGAACCCGGCTCGATTTTTTAACACGACTCTGTCTGTATCTCTGGGAGTGTATGCTAATTTGTGAGTGGGATCTTGGTCTTCGTGCATACTTTCGAGATTTATTTGACGGGGTGCTAGGATGGCATTTGGTGAGCTACATCAAGGCGCAGTTTCTTTTCCACTTACATGGTCCTCAGGTGCCGGACCTCGTTCATGCATCGGGTGACTAACTGCAGCGATTCCTTCAGTCCCTTGCTGATCTCTATTCTGTCTTGTAGGTGGCGATTTGCGTACGTACCTCCCTCCACTTCTGAACCTCACTTTATTCAAACTGGTTGCAGGATCATGGAAACGCAAACAATCCTATCCAATCTAATTCTACACTTCGAGTTCAGTTTACCCGAGGGAGGTGTTAAGATACTGCAGTTCCCTGGGTCGCCGGCTGTTGTACCTATTGTGAAGGGGAAAGCACATCTAGGATCTCAGCTACCCTTAAGGGTGAGAGCTTTAACGTGATGAATGATGGTGGATTTGGATGATGCCTGGTCCGAGAGTATATTTTCGCGTAATACGTTTCCTCGGCAATCTAGAGATTCCAAACCCAAAGGGACGTCCTCATACTAACGTGTGCAGATCATCAAGAAGCGTGGCCTGCAACATGAGGTTTCTTACGCAGATCGGTGGGAAACGGCGATGGCGGTGAGCTGCGATGGAATCAGTGCTGCTTATCTAAACTAAGTGGGTTTCGCTAGCAGTCGACTCCTGTTTCAAAGTCTCTTGGCCTTTATGGTGCCTGTGTCTGAGTCTGCACTCTCTCGCCGTATTGTTCACGCACCAGAGTTCTTATGAAGATCTTCCTATGGTATAGGAGGAGTAGTGTGAATAAGCACCACAAGGATCCTTTTTCTCGACGCAACACGCGTCCTGGAGCTGATGGATAATGTCAGGGACCCCAGGAACAACAGCTTTCGCTACCATGCTGACATCCATCAGGGAAGGCGGTCTTGCAGCGTAAACCCACCATTTAACGAAGACACCAGGACACACTCTCGCTGAATAAGATCATAATTTATGTCATCCAGTGTGTAACCGCTTGGGATAAAAGCGACTGATCTCAGAGGGTATTCAGTATTCCCCGAATATGGCTAATCTTAACATGGCTACAGTGACGTCGCTTTCTGGACGAGTAGGCCTTGTTACAGGCGGAGGGACGGGAATGTATGCCCTCAGTTTCACGATCATGGCTCATGGTTGATTCTCTGATAGAGGACTTATCATTGCGAAAGCCTTCGCTGCAAATGATGCCAAGGTATACATCACTGGCCGAAGGCTGAATGTGCTACAGCAAGCGGCGTCGTCAGTCACAGGTGTTCCAGGATCCATCGTCCCGTAAGCAGCCGTTCTGAATCTCTCCCCATCGTGTTCGCTTCTGAAGTGCCTCCAGGTTTCAGATGGATGTTACTGATGAAGAGAGCATCAAAGCGGGTGCCAGGCACATTGAAGAAATCGATGGAAAGCTCGATATCCTAGTCAACAAGTTTGTCCACAGTGCCCTCTATTATTCTCGTCTATACGCTAATATCTTCATAGTGCTGGGTTTGCAGCTTCCCTCCGTGACCCAGACTTCATCGCGAAGAAATACGCTGCAGATGATCCATTTGAACCTGAAACGGTACAAAATTGGGCTGATATCTTCGCGCTTAACACAATCGCCCCATTCTTCGTCGTGCGCGCTTTCCAAACCCTTATTATCAGAGGAGGCCAGTCCCGCCCCCAAGGCAGGTCCAGTGTCATCAACACCAGTAGTATTGCAGCCAAGTTTAACGGAACGGGGCCCATGGCATCTGTATGTGCCCTGCCTGCCATCTCCTTCCGTTCTCTATGCTAACCTTGATTTAGATCGCTTATGGCGTAACGAAAGCTGCTTTGGACAAACTCACGCTTGTTCTAGGAACAGACTTTGCTCGGAGAGACATTCTGATTCGGGTGAACGCGCTGGCTCCTGGCGTGTTTGCATCGCAGTTGATGACTCCCGAAGTCTTGGAAGCGATCAAGACTGAGCTACTGCCTGGGCTGATTGCGCCGGCACCTGCGAAGAGGCCGGGAACGTGAGTATGTTTATTGTTTGTGTGAAATTTGATTGTTGATTGCAGATTCTAGTGAGGAAATGGGGACGTCGGCGGTCTATCTGGCAGTGTCGGACTATACCAACGGAGCGATTTCGACGGTTGACGGCGGATTATCACTGGTGAATCCTTGATTGTTAGACTATCTGTTGTGAACCTATCATAAAGTCAGAAATTTCCAAACGACATCCATCATTTCTGAGTACTCGCGTCCGAGATGACGTCCATCATATCCTCTTCCTACCAATTCAACCCGCATTTTTTCGACTATAGACATCCAGCACTACCTACTTGAAACCGCTTGCAGCACCGTATCTCCCAGTGGTCGCAGTACTTTTTTGAGCTAGAAAACAAACAGAGATCGGATAGATTGCAATAAATATATGAACTTTACTTGAGTATCCATGGTCGCGACCAGGGGCGCCCTCAAGTGGGCACTTGAGTGTGCCCGCTTGAGCGATCTGCTCTATATACACTCAAGCTACCATGCTACGTTACACCCAAGTACATAACCCCTGCTCAAGTGCATCTCGCTTAGATGCCTAATATCACTTAAGCGCTGATTTGTTTCAGCATCATATGGGTCATTTGAGCGCAAGACTCAAGTGGCTCTGACATTCCCAAACCTTCCACTGCTACTCCATTCACTGACTCCGAGGGAAGCCATAGTACTTACACGTGCAAATTAAAGACCGTCAGGCATCGTTTTCTATGTGAGACGTATGATGATCACAGTACAGAACCCCTGCTCGAACCAAGCTCGAACAGGCTGCAGGTACATGTGTCGGGAGGAGGGAGGATGGAGGAAAAGGTATTGCCACCATGCGACCAGTCTATTTAACTAGCCAGTACCACTTGTCATTGAGTAATGACAAAAGACCATGCAAAATCCAAATTACAATTATATTACGGTCAAAGCATACACTATTGTTCATCCCCTATTGTTTGTTCCTCGCGCCTTTTGTTCTTCAGGTCCACCGCCACTTGGAACTAAAACCTGCAACGAACACCTTCCTGACTTGTTCTCCCACCATGTCCACCGAAAACGTGATGCCCTCTCCTTGCAATTCTGGAACTGGATGTTATGCTAACCATTATGCCTCGCTCGGATTTTGCTCTTCAAAGACGATTGACTATACTAGCGCACTGCTGTTCTCCACCATTGCCACTGAAAATGCTCCTGCGATCACCTAACAGTGTCCTGTACAATTTTTACTGTATCGGAAGGACGGCGAGGAGCGTGGTCGGTCCGGATCGTACATGGCGTACACAACTTGAAGATTGTACGGGGGAGTTAATGAGTGTTTCGACGACTCAAGCAGAGAGCATTTAAGTGAGGGTGTGGAAACTGGTGAGTTGAGTTGACGCACTTAATTGTGGCTTGAGAGTGGTCGCTTGAATGTCGCACTTGAGTGTAATTACCTCAGTTGTTGGACGTTCGAGTGCCGACTCAAGCGTCACAATTTCTTACTGACTCAAGTCAAGCCACTCAAGTGCCCGCTCGAGTGTACCCGTGGTCGAGACCACAGACACTTAAATATTCAGCATATTGATTTATTAGATTGAATATTTTAACCGAAACCCTCGACAGTGGGGGAAGGCCTTCAAGAATCGGAATAAATGGACATGGCGAAGAAGTCCGTCCGAAATCACTCCTCTCCGTCAGTATGGAGCGAAACGGCGATGTCTTCAGCAAGTTTTTGGCTTCTTCGAGTCTCGCTTGATCTGTTTTCTGCGCCGAGTCAATTCATACCTTTGGCACGTTTTGGTGTGTCTGTTGATGTTTGAATCTGCATTGCCTTGTCTCTTGTGGGTGTACTCTGATACGCACGCTTCCGAAAACATTAGGGGAAAGAAAGGTTAAATGCATAGAAATTCTATCAAGCATTCATGGATTTACCAGCGATACTCCACCATCAACGGTCAAGATCGCTCCATTCGTGTAGTCCGAGACTGCTAAATAAATCGCTGTCATTCCCATCTCGGCATCACTACCAATTAGAGTCAATCAATGCCATCCAAACACTGAGCGTGCTCACTTTCCATGCCTTCTCGCAGGCACTGGCGCAACAAGCCCAGGCGGTGGCTTCGTCTTGATCGTCTCAACAAAATCAGGATTTGCCAGCTGCGACGCAAACGCACCAGGCTGCAGCACATTCACTCGGATCGGGATATCCCTCTGGGAAAAGCTCGTCGCAAGCACGAGGGTAAGCTTCTCCAAGGCTACTTTCGTCGCACCATACGCCATCTACATAAACAAATTAGCTCCGAGTTTAACTGGAGCAGAAAAATAAGATACATACACAACCTATGTACGCAGTCATGTTTATCTTTGCGGTCGCGCTACTAATATTGATGACACTTGACATGCCTTGGGGACGGGAGTGTGCTCCTTTGACGAGGAGAGATTGGAAAGCGCGCACAACAAAGAACGGCCCAATAGTGTTGAGTGCAAAAATATCCATCCAGTTCTGTACCGTCTCGAGTTCAAGGGGATCTGTTGCGATGGATGCCTTTGCAACAAAGTCGGGATCGCTAAAGGAGGCAGCAAATCCTGCACTAGGAAAAGATTAAGGTGTGGAGGAAAGGGCCTCGGCAATTATAGACGAACTTGTTGACGAGGACATCGAGCTTGCCGTCGATTCCTTCGATATGTTTTGCGCCAGCCTTGACACTTTCCTCATCTGTCACGTCCATCCGGAGTCTGTAGGCATGTCATGGAGAGATATCACGATACGGAAGATGCTACTTACGGGACAAGAGATCCCGGAACACCTGTAACAGACGCAGCGGCTTCCTTCAACACGTTCAGCCGTCGCCCAGTGATGTATACCTTTGCTCCATTTGCAGCAAAGGCTTTGGCAATAGTAAATCCTCTGCTGAAAGGTTAGCCATGGGTCATAAACGAGAGTTCTAACGCTTACATCCCTGTTCCTCCACCTGTAACAAGGCCTACTCGTCCAGAGAGCGACATCACTGCAGCCATATTGAGATCTGTCATGCTGGCAGATTGTTGAATAACTTCAGACGCGGTCCCTGTTTCTATAGCAGTGGTTCAGAGTGTACTCCAGCGATGGCCGTAGAGTGCGACTACGATATCATAAAAGCCGGCCGTTATACCCAGGGCCATGACATAAGTTCACATGCTTGGAAGCTCGTCGTGCGAAGGAAATAATTTTCAGTCATCATTTAGCACGCTCTCTTTGACCTAAAATTAGACAAGACAAAAATAAAGCCATGCCGCTTATCTCTCACCGAACGGAGATAAAAATGCCCGGCAACATGAAAACAAGGCAGGGCGAGCAGGATGTCACTGAAGCTAGAAATTCAAGTGACGAGGGGAAGTCTAACTTATTATATGCGTGTCATGTACCTCGTGTTCATATTTCAGTGCTTTATCCCAATGCAACAGAATAGATGCAGGCCCTTTCAAACCCGACAGAGTGGCTTTTACGGAAGACTGAAAGGGTAGAGTGATCGCGTCGAATGCGAGAGAACGAGGCATTATTGGTGCCGAGCTAGGCCAAGGAAGGCGATCCACCGCACGATATCAAGTCTCGACCTATTGCGTGCATACCCGAAGTTATGTTATCTTGTCGTCGTCGTCGTCGTCGTCGTCTTCATCGTCTACTGCGCCGGAATCGATAGGCATACCATTTGATTAGTTAAAGCAAGGTAATGATATCCATAATATTCCTGTACTTTTATGACATTTCTTTCTTCCACAAAGAGTTGCTTGCGTTCATCGCTTCAGAGAATTTTCTATCTTGGTCACGGATAACAATGCGAATGGCATTTGATTTGTCGACGGGATGATGGTGATGGCAGAGGTGCTCCGGCCCGGTGGTGCTCCGACTCGATCAACTTGCAGTTGGGCGGCCCGGGGCATCAACAAAATCTTACCACCGTGACTGAGGCGACGCGTCCACCGTGTCCACATTCTCTTCAATACATCAAGTGCCAGCTCCGGCATTCGTCCCTTCACCAAAAGTATCCCGAAGGTGAGAGCCGAAAACTGGACAGAAATGAAGCCAAGAGAAGGTGAAAAGCACCCGTGTCTTTGCCTAATGATTTCGGTGTTCATCTGTTCGCCGAGATATGCACGTAAAATCTCTTGCCCATGAAGATGGTCATTCGCTCTTCATAACGCCTCCCGCGGACCTCGGAGGAATGCAGACGGCATTTGCTGATGTTGTGTGCTTGTTATCATGTCGAAAAGCCTGTATGAGTAGGAGAGGTTTCTCGGGAGCATTCTCGATTCCTCGTATGGGTTTCCACGAGCAAGGTCCACCCGAATAACTCACGGATGTGTCAAAATCATCTGAAATATATTGTACACAGGAACAAGGAGTGACACTTCGCAATGCTGCAAGGACGCTGCACCTCCGCAGGAACAAAAGATGGGCGTTTTGATAGGTAGAGTAATCATTCCATCTTCAGTGCTTGCTCATTTCTCTTGTTCTATACGTGACGTCTGTAGAGATCCGCACCGTACCCGTATTTACGGAATTACGGGACGGTTTATACGGGTACCGTAACCGTACCGTATAGGGATTCTCGATCTGGGAAAAAATACGGGTACAGTACGGGTTCGCTAAATAAAGGTATTTCTGCGTGAAATTTGTTATGAAACGACAGATACTAATCTTATTTATCTATCTAGCACGATTTTGGACCGAAAAAAACTTGGGGCCATGCGGCATCGCCAAAAATACGGTTGACGGGTACGGTTACGACCCGTACCGTCGACGGTTTCAGCCCATACGGTGACGGTACGGGTCAGCCCGTACATTTGACGGTCGTATCCGTATACGGTTACGGTGCGGATCCCTAGACGTCTGGGACCGGCGTTCACTATTTGGATGCCGCCAAGCAATGTTAATGACGACATGCTCAATACAATTCTCTTGCCATGAAGCCGTCGATGTCCTATCTCGTCTTGGCATGGCTATGCTCACAAGGTCGTAGTCTTGAAAGGACAGTCTCTATTCAGTTCGTCTTACGGAACGTTATTATGATCAATTATGTACCCGGCTCAACTCAAAGAGGTCTCCTGCCTAGTATCGGACCTTTATTCATTCGCCAGATTCTGGGGCCACCTTTAAAGCCCCGTTGACTCTGAGAGCGGCCGTAGATCTTTCTTCGCATGGCTGCGTTCATTGTAATCGCAACGCTCCTCCTAGTCTCTCTACTTCTTCGGTGGTTCAAGCGACCGTCGGTCAAGCACGTCAAGGGACCACCGTCGCCCTCCTTCTGGCTAGGTAAGCCATCTTTGGGCATTCAAGTGGAGGCTTACACCTCATCCCACCAGGTCACGAACGTATCCTTCGCGATCAAGATAATGCAGGCGATCTCGAAACGAAATGGCTCAGGGAGTATGGTACTCTTTATCGTATCGGAGGCTGTTTGGGTGTACGCAAGCTCTATGCCTCTGTTCTGGTCACGATTAAATCAAATATTCACAGCAAGACATTCTGGTTGTATGCGATCCCAAGGCCCTCGAACATATTTTCCACCCTTCATGTCCTTACCCCAAATCGCAAGACAACGTGTTCATTCTTGATCTCGTCATCGGCAGGGGACTTGTTAGTGTTAATGGCGAGTCCTCTTCTCGGTCAAACCTTTGCGTAAAGCCTCAGCCAATGCTTTCAGATGAGATCCACCACCGTCAACGCAAGATCATGAATCCGGCATTCTCTTCCACACAGCTTCAGAAGGCGCAGACCATCTTTCAGCAGTGCAGCGACAAGGTAAGTTCCATCAACAAGTGCCACAATATTCGGAAGCTTTTTGCAAATATAGCTCGTGAACAGTATTCAAGGATCTCTGATTGGCACGGATGACACCGTCAATGTCCTTGATTGGACAAGCAAGGCTGCCTTAGATATAATCGGACTAGGCAAGTAGCATGCATAGACTGTCTCTTGGTTGTTGGCCTGACGTTCAATAGCATCCTTTCGGTACGCTTTTGGTTCTCTCGACGGTCGAAACACCGAACTAGGGCAAGCGATGAGACATACTTTGTAAAATAAATCCTTCCTTCATTTCAATAGCCATCATATCTAACATCCGAATTCAGCACGGCTTCGCAATCCAACCCAACAGCACTAGAGCTTATTCTCGTATCCCTGATACGAATGGTCCCAGATTCAGTGCTAGGGTTTCTAAAGCTAATCTCGACTAGAGAAATTCGACAACTCGCCAGTGTAGGGAATGTAGCAAAGAAAACAGCTCGAGAAATCATGGCTAGCCATGACGAGGTGCAGACGTCAGAAGGCGATGGAGATATTGTTGATATCCTAGGTCAGTTCACTGGTTTGGTTGACACGTACATTTTAACACAACTGCATCTCTAGCGAGAGCACGCTTAGCAGGTAAAATGCATGATGATGAAATCGAAGCGCAATTTATGTTTGTTGTTCCCTTATTCTCTTTGTCGGCTTATAACTTTTACTCTCATTCCAGGACCTTTGTTGTTGCCGGCCACGAGACGACAAGCCTCAGTCTATCCTGGTTGTTATATGAACTGGCCGCGCATCCTGAGCATCAATCTATAATCCGTGCAGAGCTCAAACAATCGAACGACTACGACTCGATGTCGTTTTTGAACGCTGCGATTAAAGTGAGCACAGGTAGACACTACGTCAGATGCGCATACTCATCCCCGGTGACAGGAATCCCTCCGTATACACCCAAATTCGCATTCCTTCATACGCACTGCTCCTCACGACGATGTTCTACCTCTCTCTGGGGGGAAGACGCTTGCCATACCCAAGGGACAGACACTTGTTTGTTCTGCCTACCTATACAACCGGTGTGCTCTTCGCATGTCACTTCAATGTAAGTCTAATGTAGATCGTTTTTAGTCTCCCAGTGCTCTGGGGAGATGATGCGGAAGAGTGGAACCCAGTCCGATTTCTCGATAGGACTCTGCCCGTGTCGCTGGGTGTATATGCTAATCTGTGAGTAAAAGTGCGAATTCCGCGAGTGTTCTGAGGCTTATCTGGGGAATGCTAGGATGACATTTAGTGAGTCCTGAATCACCTTATATTCTTCTTCCACTTACGTGGCCCTAAGGTGCCGGCCCTCGTTCATGCATCGGGTAATGAACCACTGCGATTCACATCATTTCCTTGCTGATCCTACTCCTGTCTCATAGGTGGCGATTCGCGTATGCGCCTCCTCTTCTTGGACTCGCTTCATTTAAACTGATTGATGGCATTCAGAATCATGGAAACGCAAACGATCCTCGCCAACTTGCTTCTGAATTTTGAATTCAGTTTGCCTGAAGGTGGTCAGGAGATCTTACAGTTTCCCGGCACGCCGACCGTCGTACCTATTGTGAAAGGGAAAGCACATTTAGGCTCTCAGCTTCCTTTAAGGGTGAGGGCTTTACATTAGTGAATGACGGTAGTCACTTCAGATGATTCCGTTGTTATTGTAGTCGGCGTCTCTCTAATAATTCAGATTGTTAGAGAAGAAAGACCCGGTTTCAAAGTTGCAAAGACCCTAGAAGATAGAAGCCAGAAAGCTAAGTTCGGTCTTGCAACTACCTCAAAGGGACGGCGATGTCGAGGGAAAAGAACATGTCAATTTCTTGGAAATTCCACATTGAGTCAATATTCAAGGATTTACCAGCGATCCACCGCCATCAACACTCAAAATCGCTCCGTTCGTATAATCTGACACTGCCAAGTAGATCGCCGTCATCCCCATCTCGGCATCACTACAAACCTCAAATCAATGATTCATCTCATTCAAAGAATGAGCAGAACTCACGTCCCATGTCTCCCCGCTGGTATCGGTGCCACCATTCCAGGCACCGGCTTCGTCTTGATAGTCTCCAAAAATGCACTACTCGTCATCTCCGACGCAAACGCACCAGGCTGCAACGAGTTCACCCGAATCGGGATACCCCTCTGCGCAAAACTCGTCCCAAGAACGAGCGTGAGTTTGTCCAACGCTGCTTTCGTCAGACTATAACCTAGCTAATCAAAGTGTCAGAGTCAGGTAAAGTTCAAGTTTTATGCACCCAACAAGGCACGTACACACACTCCGGACGCTGATAAGTTGACTTTTGCTGCGCCGCTGCTGATGTTGATGATGCTTGAGGTGCCTTGGGGGCGGGAATGTGCTCCTTGGACGAGGAGGGATTGGAAGGCGCGGATGATGAAGAACGGGGCGATAGTGTTCAGTGCAAAGATGTCGGCCCAGTTCTGGATGGTCTCAGGCTCGAATGGATCCGTCGCTGCGAGTTTCTTCGCGAGGAAGTCTGGGTCACGACGGGAGCCGGCGAATCCTGCACTGTGAAGAGGTCGACATACGAGAACAGGGATCAAAGACGTGGCATACGCACTTATTAACGAGAATGTCGAGCTTGCCGTCGATATTCTCAATGTGGTTGGCGCCGGCCTTGACGGCTTCTTCGTCGGTCACGTCCATTTGGAGCCTACATATGCGTGAGCAATGAATATGCAGGGGGGTGGATAACGACAGACGGAATAATAGACCCTGGTACGCCTGTAACTGACGCCGCAGCCCTTTCCAGTACGTCCATCCTTCGGCCAGCGATGTATACTTTTGCGCCGTTTGCAGCAAATGTCTTAGCAATACTAAACCCTCTGTTGGTGAGGTCAACTGTGAGTCACAAATGAAAATCAGGAAACGTACATCCCCGTCCCTCCACCTGTAATAAAAGCTACTCGTCCGGACAAGGACAACACTGTAGCCACGTTAAGATCTGCCATCGCTGGACAAGTCTCTGAGTATGGTCTTTTTTATTCTAGCGGTCTTATTCAGCAAAACTGCGAAAAGACCATCTTTTCCCATGATAGTCAGATACTATGACTGAGGTCCGGCCGCAAGTCGTACTCTGAAAGCTTCTTGTGCGAAGAAAGAGTCGTCATGTCTGCAAGATGGCGGAAAGAGTGCGGTCATAGCTGGATCGGGGAATCCTTGAAATAGATAGAAGTTGAGAACCATTTCGCTGAGTCCGGTAAAGTGTTGTTTCTCTCACAGCTCACCTTTAAATATGTAGTCGTTTCTTATCAATCCATCTAAGCCAAAATCCTCCACCAAAAGAAACACTGATGATAGTTTGTCCCCGTGAGTTGAATGCCGCCAATTCGTCTTCAGTGGAGTTGCACGTCCCCATAAGGATCGCCTAATTGACTAACTACCTTCAAGGAGGAGGGGGGGGAAAGGGTAATGTATTTCGGTAGTCGCACATTCAAGGATTTACCAGCGACGTTCCTCCATCAATACACAAAATCGCCCCGTTGGTATAGTCCGATACTGCCAGGTAGATCGCCGTTGCTCCAATCTCTGCATCACTAGAACACTCGAGTCAATGACCGGTCTCATTCATACACTAAGCATACTCACGTCCCATGCCTTCTGGCAGGTATCGGTGCCACGAAACCGGGTATTACCTTCGACGTGATACTCTCCAAGAATTCAGCACTCAGTATCTGCGACACAAACGCGCCAGGCTGCAGCCCATTCACCCGGATCGGGATACCCCTCCCAGCGAAACTCGTACCAAGCACGAGGGTGAGCTTGTCCAGAGCTGCTTTCGTCACACCATAAGCTATCTGATCAAGTCAGCGACAGGCTTTAAAGGGATGGTGGGGGCACATACACAGGCTGCAGGTCCCGGAGCGTTGATTTTTGCTGAGATGCTGCTGATGTTGATAATGCTTGAGGTGCCTTGGTGGCGAGAATGCGCTCCTTTGATGAGGAGGGATTGGAAAGCGCGGACGACGAAGAATGGGGCGATGGTATTTAGCGCAAAGATGTCGGCCCAGTTCTGTACCGTCTCGGGTTCGAGGGGATCTAATGCAGTGTCCCGTTTTGCGATGAAGTCTGGGTCGCGAAGAGAGGCGGAGAACCCGGCGCTACGGAGAGATTAGTATGTGGGGGAGAGGAACTGAAGGTATTGCAGACGAACTTGTTAACTAGGATATCGAGCTTGCCGTCGATTCCTTCGATATGCTTTGCACCAGCCTTGACGGATTCTTCGTCTGTCACATCCATCTGCAGTCTATATATATGTTAGCAATGAGTATCCTGGAGGGGAGGACAATCACTAACGGGATAATGGAACCTGGAACGGATGCAGCGACTTTCTCCAGCACGTCCAACCTTCGGCCAACGATGTATACTTTGGCTCCATTTGCGGCAAAGGTTTTAGCAATGCTCAATCCTCTGAAAACGAGTCAACCGCGAGTCACGAGAGAAACTCAGGAAACGTACATTCCCGTCCCCCCGCCTGTGATGAGGGCTACTCGTCCTGACAGCGACAATACTGTAGCCATGCTGAGATCCGCCATGTCCGGTGCCGTTCCTTTTGTTATAGTGGTTGCTGCGCCTCTGGTCTTATTCAGCAAAACTGTGTTGGTGGTATATCGCTGATGTGACATTGCAAAAAGACCGTCCTCGTCCATCTTCTCCCATAACTGTCCAAGGTTCGGGCCGTAGTCCAGCTTGTCGTGTGAAGAAAGGACCTTTCACAGTGATGATGCCATAGATGCGGCCGACAGAGCGCTTGAGAATCACTGAGTTGAGTAAGCCAAGTGTTGATTCTATCATAACTTACCTTCAAGCTCGTCGTCGTTTGAAGTTCCTATCAATCCACCCCAATGCCCTTATCATCATTAAGCTGGAAGGTATCAACATTGAGGGTCGCATTTATCCGTGCGTGGATTCCATCAGGATCATGCCTGTGCATTGTCGTTCAGACCAGCTGCGAGACTTGGTTTTCAACACCAATCAATGGATGCTTCCTTGTTAGCTGAGAGGGAAAAACTTGAATGAGCAGTGAAGACGCGACGAGCAAAGGAGCAAATGGTAGGACGGCAAAGGACGGCCGGCAGCATCGGAGTTTCAAATACGGTTTGAACCTCTACCACCACAACCTTTACTTACCACAGCCTTTATCACGCCCTTTCATTTCTTCTACCTCAAATCTATGCCATACCCCAGTGAGGCGATATATTCTCACATCAAAACAATGGACCCCACACAACGCAGAGAATACGACCAAGTTGCCAACGAAATCGAACGCCTCATGCTCAAGCGTGAAATAGAACTCGTTATGTCCTATCAACTTGTCCAGATCATGCGATCCGCCTAAGACGAAATAACTCAGCCCAAAAACTATCGACAGAAGCAATTTCTTCTTCGCGAACTGGTGGCAAAACTCGGGGACCTCAAGCCAGGAATGCGTAAAACATTTGGTGAAGACTCTGGTACGTTTCGTGGATGCGTTGTCTACGCCTAGTATATTTATCTTATTTCAGAGGCGTACCATCATCTGCTTCTGGAAGAACAACTACTCTGTCATCAATGATTATGCTCCCTGCTGTGTCTCTCTGACTTCGCCGACCATTAGTTGAACTTGGCTGACTGACGTGCTGATCTTAGATCTGCTCTCGTCCACGTTCTTTTGGCTTGGGATCCTCTCCCCATTTCTACTGTGGTTTCTACCTTGGGCAAAGGATCTACCTTGACCATCGGTACGTCTTAACGACCCGTCGCAGATACTCACTGTTTGACCGTGTTTGTTTTAACAGTACTTGTCCACATTACTCTCTGTATACCTAGTGTCTCGTGTAACCACATCATGTCATGGTGAAATTTATGTGAATCGACTCGGAGAGCATTCTGGTTCTTATATGGACAAGGTTCATCGGCGCGAAGGTCCAAGTTCATTTACACCTAGTCCTCAACGCAACCCTCTTCACCGACGGAAATCCAATACATGAACCGATCTTTTATGCCGAGTAATGAACTTACCGGGTATGTAGCTGCGTGATTACAATCCCGTCTGTTTTGCCTTGCTTCATTCTGGTCACGACGGCGAGGTTACGCGTAAATAAACCACTTCTCCAGTATCGCAGTAATTGCGTCGTTCTTCTCACTACTCTGTTTGTACTTCTGATGCTCAGCCTTGAGTCTGAGTTTCGACCTCAAGGCCTCCAGTTACTGCTCTGAAGAAACCCTGTAACCATTCAATTTACCTGCCTGCCGCCTTCTCCCACAATTTCTGAGCTGTCTCCTGGGCGTACCTTGACTGGTTGCCGGAAACCCATTTCGACAATGATGGTTTCTACGCTGTAATGGACTGGGGAACTCCTCGACGTACAGACGGGCAATTTAGTTATCTCTACTGTCCAGAACGCAGGAAGCTGCCTTATCGCACATCTCTGCCCAGATTTCGCCCTCTGCAGGTGAACAAGTCTTGCGTCTCGTGTAACCTTGCTCGCTTTCTCCTGCCTTCCATGCCGTTTTGGTTTCGGTCTAGCCATCCTTACTATATGAGGTCTAGCATGACGTTCCGTATGCACAAGTGGATGTTGGATGTACCTGGTAGTGGCGTCATCCATGAGAAATCTCCGTAGAGAATGGTTGGTCGGAAAGGAGAGAGATGCTGTTTGTCTATTTGTTTATCAAATCGAATTTTCCCCTTTCATCAAATAACTCATCTTCGAGGGCCTTGGTGGTCGGGAATGTTGGAAGATCATATGTAATCCTACAAGATGCGACGAATCCTTGCCAATAAAACAGTGGGTGATGTCGGGATTTGAAACATGCTCAGACTAGTACACACTAATAGTACCGGGCCCTCTGAAGCGGCTATCATTCACTAGTGTAAAACCCTCACCCTTAAAGGTAGCTGGGAGCCTAAATGTGCCTTTCCCTTCACATAGGGTACGACCGCCGGTGTCCCGGGGAAATGTAGGACCTCGACCCCTCCTTCAGGCAAACTGAATTCGAAGTGCAGAATCAGATTAGCTAGAACTGTTTGGATTTCCATGACGCTGCATTTTTTTAGATCAGTTGGATCGAAGTGAGACTGGAACGACGAGGTACATACGCAAATCTCCACCTAAGAGAGAAGGAAGAGCATCAGCGCAATGGAACAAGATGAAATAGAATTGATTAATAATTACCCGATGCATGAACGAGATCCAGCACCTGAGGGTCACAATAAGTAGAAGAGAAAAGGCACCGAAGCACAACTCACTAAATGTCATCCTAGCATTCCACATAAGTCTTAAGAGCGCATACAAAGTCAAGATCTCACTCACAGATTAGCGTACACACCAAGCGAGACCGGCAGAGTCTTGTCAAGAAACCGACCAGGGTTCCACTCTTCCGCGTCATCTCCCCAGAGAGATGGAAGACTAGAAAACGTTGGCGTCAGATGTGCATCGAGGTGACATGGGAAGATCATACCGGTTGTATAGGTAAGCAGAACAAATGAACGTCTGTCCCTTGGGTATGGCAAGCGTTTTCCCTCCTGAGAGAGGGAGGACATCATTATGAGGAGCGGTACGTAGCATGGAGTGTGAAAGTGGGTGTAGACGGAGAGCCTCCTGTTACGAGAAATCAACATAGGTATCCGATGGAGCTACTGAGCTTACTTTGATAGCTGCGTTCAAGAACGGCATAGAGTCGTAATCATTTGACCCGGATTGTTTGAGCTCTGCGCGAATTATGGATTGATGCTCAGGATGCATAGCGAGTTCGTAAAGCAACCAGGCTATACTATTGCCCGACGTCTCGTGCCCAGCAATGACGAAGGTCCTGGAGCACAAAAAGTCGTCATGATCAAGAAGGGTAAGTAAGAACATGACACGAACATCAACTGCGCCTCGATTTCGTCATCTTGCATTTTTCCTGCTGAGCGAGCTCTTGCTAGAGATATAGTCATGTTAATACTAGATATCTTATTAGATGGGACCAGTAAACTTACCTAGGAGATCAACAATATCTTTATCGTCACCTGGCGTCTGTACCTCGTTGCGGCTAGCCATGATCTCTCTGCTAGTTTTCTTGGAGACGTTTCCTACGCTGGCAATTGAGCGAATCTCTCGAGTCGAGATCAGCTGTAGAAGTCCTAGGACCCAATCTGGAAGCATTCGTATCAGAGCTATGAGAATAAGTTCTAGTGCCGTTGTATTGGATTGCGAGTCAGTGCTGAAACCAGATGATATTAGATGCAGTAGCCGTTGAAATAAGGAAACGGATCTTACAAAAGATGCTTCATCGCTCGCCCTAGCTCCGTTGTTTGACTATTGAGCGAACCAAAATCATACCGGAACGAGGCTTTTGGATTTCATATTTAAGTGAGAGAGATGGGAGAAAACGGCTGGCACTCACCTAACCCAATTATGTCTAGGGTAACCTTGCTTGTCCAGTCATGGATATTGACGGTTTCACCTGCACCACTGGTCACAGTTTTCTTGATCCCGTTCACAAGCTATAATCGTTATAAGCTTCCAAACATTGCCGCGCTCATTGATGTACAGATGCACCTACCTTGTCAGAGCATTCTTGAAAGATAACCTCGTATTTTCGGAGCTGCGTAAGAGAGAATGCCGGATTCAGGATCTTGCGTTGGCGGTGGTGAGTTTCATCTGAATGCACTAGGTGTGTTTGTGTGCAAACTGGATGGGATGGACACTCACCAGCGACAGTGACAATACCATTGCCAAGGAAGAGCTTCTGAATGAAGATGGTGTCCTTCGATTTTGGATAAGGTCGTGGCTGGTGGAAAATGTGCTCCAAAGCCTTGGGGTCGCATACTACCAGGACGTCTTGCTAGAGGACTGTTGGGTTAACCGTGACCACGAGAGATAGAGAGCTTGATTACCCCAAAACAACCCCCAACACGATAAATTGTGCCGTATTCTCTACGCCATTTCGTTTCAAGATAACCAGAATTATCTTGATTGCGGAGAACCCGTTCGTGACCTGATGGGTATCGTGTATGAGCCCGTGTTAATACCCACTCATGGTCGTTTACCTAGCCAGAAAGAGGCCGACGGTGGTCCCTTGACGTGCTTGACTGACGGTCGTCTGAACCATCGATGAAGCAGAGAGCCTACGAGGAGCGATGCGATTACAAGGAATAATGCAATCATATGAAGAAAGAACTGCGGTTCTTAGATTCAGTGATATACTCCTGGCTTTAAATAAGGTGCTGATAGAACTTGACGATTGAATAAAGGTCCGCCGGACAAAAAGACCTCCCTGACTCGCTAAGCCTCGGAGTTCATATGGACCGAACATTCCATAACACATCGGAAGAATAGCAACGTCCCTCTCGGAACTAAGGCTCTGCGGTACTGCACTGTCATAATTAGTCTGGCGGCGGTCCGGTGCAGGACCGCATGAACCCGGTCCGAACCTGAACCGAACCCGCAGGTCCAGGTGCGGTTCAGGTTCAGGTTCAGGACAGCCACCAAGGTCCAGGTGCGGGGTTCAGCCTGGCCGAAATTTGCGCACCGGGTTCGAACCTGCTGAACCTCCAAATAATTCGTGCAAATTTCGCGAGTGTACAGGTGAGTTTATAAATCTAAATTTCCCCTCGTAATACTACCTAATACAGAGAATCGTGGTCTCATTTTGGGGTAACTATATAGTCGGGCAATATAAGGTTCAAGCCACCACGTTCAGCACTGTAATTACGTCTTTGCAAGAAATTTGAGCAAATCGAGTACGCCCGAGTACGCCCGTCGCCTAGTGCCAATAATCCGGCCATGGGTCGAGAAGTTGACGAAACATTGATCCTTCCAGAGAACACGAAGTGTCGTGTCCAGGTTGCAGCAAAGCTTATCCAGCGTTTGAAGGAAGCTTATCGAGATGGACGCGTAAGTGCGCAGAATGAAGCGTGGATGGATACTGGACCTTGTTTTGACAAGGCAGACTGGGACTTTTCAATGTAGTCGTTGATCCATGTAGTTTAGTGATTGTTTTTATATACATGGTTTGTGATACACAATGAAAAAAAAACTGTTGGACCGGGTTCGAACCTGGACCGAACCTTGTGGACCTGAACCTGAGGTTCAGGTTCGAGGTTCGGGGGGTTGGGGAGCGAACCTGGAGGTGCGGGTTCGAGGTTCAGGCAAATGTGCCCGAACCTGGACCGAACCGGACCCCGGCCAGACTAGGACTCATAATGGATGGAAGATAGAAGATTATGACGATTATTCCAAGGTTGTTCTGTTGAATCCTCAGTGCATGTCGTATCTGGCTGCTACAACCTTGATGCAGACGCACCGAAGACAACGCGTATCAAATGCTTCACAGCTTGAATGAGAGACCTGTATTGGATATGTTGGTCAGTAACCAGTCTAGCGGATACCAATCAAAGCGTTCGTTCTGCGTCACCTGGGCATGGGACATTCTCGCAACATTGCTTCTCCGAGGGTTGTTCCTGCCTGCGACAGATCTATCTCAATTAATACTGACTTGTCCGTGGGCTATTCAGGTGCATCCTGCTCCATCAAATTCATATAAGGTTCTTGAAAATGCATTTGTGAGATTTGCCGCGATACGGTACAGAGCCTTTGAGACATATGATAATGGACGTACACCAACAACGAGTGCGGTTAACACCCATTGATGCCTCCGAGCTTCGCGGGAAGACATGATAAAGCTTCTTCACAGAAGAGTGTTGACATGCATATGTTTTCAGTCTGAGGAAACGAATGAATCTTAGATCGTTAGGAAAGATGTAGTAAAGATGGAAGAGGAGGTAGCATAAGCCAGTGGAATCGTTGTCCTTGTCCTTCAAAGTTTAGAAGTTCAAGATGTCGGCACCATCCATGGGCCAGAGAGGAAATCCTGGGCACCATGTTCGCGCTGATGACCGCCATGATAGAGGCTCTGGTTCTTCAGAAGTAAGCACCGGTGGCTAGGACAAGGCATTGTAAAGGATGGTAGCCTAAGGTCTCTTCAAACAACGGAGCAGGGTAGAGCGGCAAAGGACGGCATGCAGTGTCAGAGTTTCAAACACGGCTTGAACTACCAACTTTACCACGCCCTTTCTTCGACCTCAAAGCCATGTCATACCCCAGCGAGGCGATAGATGCTCACATCAAATCGTGACAATGGACCCCGCACAACACAGAGAGTACGACCAAGTTGGCGACGAAATCGAACGCCTCATATCCTATTCACTTGTCTAGATCATGCCGAAGATGAAATGATAGCGAGGCGAACTGGCAGCAGAACTCTTAAACCTCAAGCTTGGAATGCGTAAAAAGTTTGGTGAAGACTCTGGTATGTTCCGTGGACCCATCATCCACGCCCAGTATATTTATTTTATTTTAGAGGTGTACAGACTTCTGCTTCTGGAAGAACAACTGCCCTGTCATCAGTGATTACGCTCCTTGCTGTATCTCCTTGACTTGCCAACTTTTAGTTGAACTAGGCTGACTGACATGATGATCTTTCATCTGGTGTTGTCCATGTTCGTCTAGCTTGGGATCCTCTCTACATTTCTGCTGTGGTTTCTACCTTGGGCAAAGGATCTACCCTGACCATGTACGTCTTAACGAAGCATCGCAGATACTCATTGTCTGATCGCATTTATTTTAACAGTGTTTTTCTGCATTGTTCTCCGTATGCCGTTCCTAGACTCAGAGTCTTGTACTTAGTTTTGTACCCGCAACCTGTCATGGTGAAATTTATGTGATTCGAGGAACATTCTAGTTCTTGTATGGGCAAGGTTCATCGGCGAAGGCCCAAATTCATCTACGCCTATAGTCCTCAATGCAACCTTCTTCACGGACGAAAATCCAAGACATGAACCGATCTTTTACATGCACTACAGCTTAAAGGCTATATCAGATTGCTTATTGGGCAAGCATCATGTTGGGTCGCATGTGTCTCAAGCACAACAGAAAACAACTAACGGGGTTTACAAAAGAGGGCCCTCGGAAATGAGGTGGAACGTTGGTAACGCTGTATGGGAATTCCACCGTGACTGACTGGCTATCCATACATTCAAAATCTCACACGATGCCTATCTAATTGTTATACTATAACTGTTGGGATTTGCAACTTCAAGCTTGTACTAGAAGATTCCCGAAGCTTCGGCTTACTCATTTGTCACGATACTTGGATATATTTAGTACTTTAGGTAGAATATTCTAGATACTTTTCGTAGTATATAAGGAGCTCATTAGGAGCTCTAGTAGCTAACAATTAGGTATTATTCCTACTGCAAGCCTCCCACTGCAATACTGCCAACAATAACCATAACATTAGTACACTGGTTTCATTGTCAGTTTAGCCAATCTTTTCAGGATGTGACCACGGATGAGAGTCATCTCTTTAAGATATCTTGCCGCAGAGTTGTGGTATCGAGGTGGCTGAGCAGTGGAGATGTTGCAGCAGACCAGGTATTGCTTTTCTCTTTGAGGTTGCACTCACACCTGTGCGTGTTTGTATTTGGCCTTAGGGAAAGTTGCAGTCACGGAGGTCGGTTCTGACAAGCGCATTCACTCTGATCGGAATATCTTTCTGAGCAAATTTCGTGGCAAGAATGAGGGTGAGCTTCTCCAAGGCTGCTTTCGTCGCGCCATATACTATTTACATAGCTAAGTTTTCCTAGAGTCCAGCTGGAAGGCAGCAGTAGGACACATACACACCCCATTCCGGCAGCCATATGGCAACAGTTCTTGGAGCTAGCCAGGCGCCGCTCCGCAGTTCGTAGACTAGGATCGAAGGCTACGTCTCAACCCCTCCAGCGAGGAAAAATAAGTTAGAACTAACTACAAGGAACCAATCGGTAACTTACCAGTACGGGGGTTTCATGTGCAACCCCAGTTATCAAGTTCGAATCCCCACGGGTATGGCCTGATAGATGGGTTTTGAATGTCTGGACCCGGGGCCCTTACACCCAACCTACTTCGCTCTGATTTCAGGCCGGGTTATGGTCAGACTTTAGACATCTGAGTTTTAAGATGATCTAGTTAGCTGTTCACACCAAAAATAACCCAGGAACAGGTACAACCTCATGTACTTATGTATGGCACCTTCGGGCGAAACCTTCTGTACTTTCGGAGTTTCGAGGCTAACAACACTATAAAAAAACCCCGGTACGGTGTCTCACTACGCATCAAATAACAGTGTACCGCAGCGAGGAGATGGTGTATTGAATGTATAGTTTCAAATGCGAGTGCAGCCAATCGGAAACTAACTTAGTCAGTGAGAAGAAGGTCTACCGAAATGATATTCAATGCATCTCGGAGCAGTAACTAGCCTTCAATGCCACTCATTCGTCGGTGTTTGTGCAGTCATTCGGAGCTAAGAGTCAAAACGAGTATACATTGAACTTGAACTTGACGGACCTTTATATTGTACTCAAGGACATCCCACAAGGTGACAATGTCTCTTTCCCCTGAAAACACAAGTCTTCAGCATCAGGGAGTTCAACCTCAGCCTTCCTCCCTATCTGGTATGCTCTTTTTCTTGAACGTTTATTTTCTCGACTTCAAGTTGACCTTTCCGCACTTTCCTTAGGGCATGTCAAGTCCCCAAACCCCACAGGCCTTCAACAGACTACTGAATGCATAATCCGATCTTTCCTGCACCAGTTCGACACCACCAGCTTACCCTCTGTCTCGAATCCCGCACTTGAAGATCTTTGTATGAAAGAAGCTGAACGTCGGGGATACGCCCTCGACGCGCTCAGGCCTTACTTAGTGACCTCACTCAACATCACTGCCTCCGCGTACCATCATCTCGAGGATCTTAACGTCAAAGTGTACATCGTCATGTTCACCGCGTTTGCGATATACTTCGATGATGCCTATCCTGATGACCCTGACGCCCTTGTCGGAGTCCCTAATTTTACCAAGGTGAATATTGATGTCTGATATCTAAAATCCCATCAACTTCTCCTATGCAGTACTTTGCGTCCTTAGAGAAGCAGCCAAATAAGATGCTCGATGATTTTGCGAAGATCCTAGCAGAAACCTCTCAGCTGTTTGGCGAAGTCACTACTGATTTCATTATCCATGCGGTCTTCAAGTTCATGACTGCGTTGATTTTAGAGATAAGGAGTGAATCTAAACCGGCGAGTAGTAATTTTCACTCTGGATATTGATTTACTTACTTTGTGACAGACACACAAGGTTGACAGATACGCTATATATCTTCGCGAGCTAAGCGGACTTGCCGAGGCCTACGCCGTATTCATTTTCCCTACCGAGATGCCATATACCGTATATGTCCAGGCTCTTCCTCTCCTCCGCGATGTCATCAACTTCATAAATGACATCACCTCATTCTACAAGGAGGAGTGTGACGGTGACAACCACAACCTTATATCAATGTTGGCTGAAGCCAACGGTGAGGCAAAGACCAAGGCTCTTTGCTACTTGACGGAGAAATGCATGGAGGCACACAAGAGGACGTTACTTATCTTGTCGCCACACAAAGAAGCGCACGAGATGTACAAGGAGTTTGTGAAGGGATACTTGGCATATCATTTGGGTGCCAAGAGATACAGACTTAACGAACTGAACATTTAGCCTGTCGATTGCGAGGATGTATATACTGGGGAGCTGTGATATTCATATTTGATAAGCAAATAATTGGATGGGCATTTGAGCGAGTGAAGGGATCCGTACATGGTGATGAAGCCGTTTCCGTGTATCCGTGACCCGTATAGTCGAGCCTAGAAGATCTGCTGACGTGACGACAGCAACTCGAACTTGTAACATCGCCTCTACTCCAGTACTGAAGGCACTCACGTCCCTGCATGTCTCTTTGCCAGTATCAGCGCCACTGACTCCAAAGTATCCACCCAAATCGGGATACCCTCCCAGCAAAGCTCGCGCCCAGAACGAGGGTGAGCATTTCCAAAGTGGCTTCTGTCGGACTGCATGCGAGCGAAGTGGAGCGGGCCCAAAACTCGAAAGGAATTTTTGCCGTTGATTCCTTCAATGTGCCTGGCCCTGGCCTTGACGCTTTCTTCGTCTGTGACGGAGTCCATTTGGATTCTGCAGGTACATCAGAACGAACGTCATCAAGAGAGAACGGCTGCTTGCAAGACAATTGATCCTGAGACGTCTGTAATTGACGGCGTAGCTTAGTCTAACACGTTTGTCTTCACCCAGAGATGTATACTTTTGCTCCGTTGCGGCAGAGGTTTCAGCAATGCTGAACCCTCTATTGACGAGTCAACTGTGAGTCGCGCATGAAAGTCAGGTTACTTACATCCCTGTCCGCCTGCCTGTAACAAAAGCTATGCGTCCGGACAGCGACAACACGGTAGCCACATTAATATCTGCCATGTTCGGGAAATACTGAACACTCTCTGGACACGGTCCTTCAGTCTTATTCAGCGAAACTGTGTTGGTGTCGGATACCGCTGATCTGACCTTATTGCAAGACCATCCTTTTCCCATAATGGTCAGCATTATGATTCCAGTTCGTGGGCCGCGATCTTCTTCCACAGTCATTACGCCAGCAAAAAGACGAAAAAAAACGTGGATATAGGTGCTCTATGAGCCCAGGTATCTTGAAATAGAAGCTTGAGAACCGTTTAGGTGAGTTCGCGACTCTCCCAGCTCACCGTTATTGTCGTGTCCTATCAATCCACCCGAGCTAAGGGCAACACTGAGGACCGCATTCATCTATGCGCTGGATTCTGCTAAGCTCACGCCTGTATATTGTCGTTGGTATCAGATGCGAGGCTTGGCTTGCAGTACCAATCAATGGATGCTTCCTTGTTAGCTGAGGGAAGAGAACTTGAATGGATAACGAAGACGCGAAGAGCAAGGAAGTATGGTAGGACGGCAAAGGACGGCAGGCAGCGTCCGAGTCGGAGTTTCAAACACGGCTTGAACTACGACCACGACCACCACTGGTACCGTCTATACCACCACGGCCCTTCATTTCTTCTACCTCAAAGCCATGTCCTACCCCAGTGAGGCGATATATTCTCACATCGAGACAATGGACCGTGCACAACGCAGAGAATACCGTAACCAACTTTTCAACGAAGCCATACACCTCAAGCTCAAGCGTGAAATAGAACTCATTATGTCCTATCAACTTATCCAGATCATGCGATCCGCCCAAGACGAAATAGCCCAGTCTAAAAGCTATCGACAGAAGCGATCTCTTCTTCGCCAACTGGCGGCAACACTCGAGGACTTCAAGCCAGGAATACGTGAAACGTTTGGTGAAGACTCTGGTACGTTCCGTGGATGCGTTGTCCACGCCTAGTCTATTTATCTTATTTCAGAGGCATACCAGCATCTGCTTCTGGAAGAACAACTGCTCTGTCATCAGTGATTATGCTCCCTGCTGTGTCTCCTTGACTGGCCAACCTTTAGTTGAACTAGGCTGACCGACGTGCTGATCTTTCAACTGCTCTCGCCCACATTCTTCTGGCTTGGGATCCTTTCTCCGTTTCTGCTGTGGTCTCTACCTTGGGCAAAGGATCTACCTTGAAAGTTTGACCGTCGGTACGTCTTAACGAACCCATCGCAGATACTCATTGTCTGACCGCGTTTGTTTTGACAGTATCTTCCCACATTACTCTCTGTATACTTAGTGTCTTGTGTATCCGCATTATGTCATGGTGAAATGTATGTGAATCGACTCGGAGAACATTCTGGTTCTTGTGTGGACAAGGTTCCTCGGCGTGAAGGTCCAAGTTCATCTACATCTACATCTAGTCTCAACGCAACCCTCTTCGACAGACGAAAACCCAAAACATGAACCGATCTTTTAGTTCAGGTAATGAACTTACCGGGTATGTAGCTGCGTGATTACAATCCCGTCTGTTTTGCCTTGCTTCATTCTGGTCACGACGGCGAGGTTACGCGTAAATAAACCACTTCTCCAGTATCGCAGTAATCGCGTTGTTGTTCTCATTAACCTGTTTGTACTTCTGATGCTCCGCCTTGAGGTTCGACCTCAAGGCCTCCAGTTCACGCTCTGAAGAAACCTTGTAATCATTCAACCTATCTGCCTGCCGCCTTCTCCCACAATTTCTGAGCTGTCTCTTGGGCCTACCTTGACTTGTTGCCGGGAACCGATTTCGACGATGATGGTTTCTACGCTGTAATGGACTGGGGAACTCCTCGACGTACAGACGCGCAATTTAGTTATCTCTACTGTCCAGAACGTAGGAAGCTGCCTTATCGCTCACCTCTGCCCAGATTTCGCCCTCTGCAGGTGAAGGAGTCTTGCGTTTCGCGTAGCCTTGCTCGTTTTCTCCTGTTATCCGTGCCGTTTGGGGTTCGTCGCTGTGTGAGGTCTAGGAATGACGTTTTCTGTGTGCAAACTGAGCATGATGAGCACTCACTAACGATAGTGGCAAGCCCCTGGCCAATGAAGAGATTCAGGATGAAGGTGGTATCCTTCGATTTTGGATAAGGTCGTGACTTGTGGAAAATATGTTCGAAAGCCTTGGGGTCGCACACTACCAGGACGTCTTGCTGAAAAATCGTTGAGTTAACTGTGACCACGAGAGACAGAGAGCTTGATTACCCCAAAGCAGCCCCCAACACGATAGTGTGCCATATTCCCTACGCCAGTTCGTTTCGAGATCACCAGCATTATCTTGATTGCGGAGAACGCGTTCGTGGCCTGATTGGTATCGTGTATGAGCCCATGTTTGTACCAAAATATGGTCGTTTACCTAGCCAGAAAGAGGCCGACGGTGGTCCCTTGACGTACTTGACTGACGGTCGTCTGAACCATCGATAAAGCAGAGTGCTTACGAGGAGCGATGCGATCACAAGAGTTAATGCGACCATGTGAAGAAAGAACTGCGGCTCTTGGATTCAGTGATATACTCCCAGCTTTAAATAAGATGCTGCTATAATTTGACGATTGAATGAAGGTTCGCTGGGTAAAAAGACCTCCCTGAGCTAAGCCTCGGAGTTCATATTGACCGAACATTCCATAAGACGAGAAGAATGGTAACCATCCCCCTCGGAACTAAGGCTCTGGGGTACTGCACTGTTATAATGGATGGAAGATAGAAGATTATGACGGTTATCCCAAGGTTGTTCTGTTGAATCCTCAGTGCATGTCGTATCTGGCTACAACCTTGATGAAGTCGCACCGGGAAGACAAGCCGCCTCAAACGCTTTACAATGAGAGACCTGTATTGGACATGTTGGTCAGTAACTAGTCCAGCGGAGCAATTCACCGATCAAAGCGTTCGCTCTGCGCTGCCTGGACATGGAGCATTCTCGCAACATTGCTCCTCCGAGGATTGTTCCTGTCTGCAGCATATCCGTTTCAATCATTAATACTGACTTATCCGTGGGCTATTCAGGTGCATCCTGCTCCATCAAATTCGTACAAGATGCCTGAAAATACATTTGTGAGCTTTGCCACGACACGGTATAAGTAGAGCCTTTTAGAATATGATAACGGACGTACGCCAACGACGAGTGAGGTTAACACCCATTGATGCCTCCGAGCTTCACGGGAAGGCACGATAAAGCTTCTTCAAGGAAGAGTGTTTACGTGCATATGTTTTCAGTCTGAGCAAACGAGTGAATCTTGAACCGTTAGGCAAAGATGTAGTAACGACGGAAGAGGAGGTAGCATAAGCCAGCAGAATCCTTGTCCTTGTCCTTCAAGGTTTAGAAGTTCAAGATGTCAGCACCCGTACTCTCCATGGGTCAGAGAGGAAATCCTGGGCACCATGTTCGCGCTGGTGACCGTCATAATAGAGGCTCTGGTTCTTCCGAAGCAAACACCGGTGGCTAGGACAAGGTATTGTAAAGGATGATAGTGTACGGTCTCTTCAAACAACGGAGCAGGGTAGAGCGGCAAAGGATGGCATGCAGTGTCGGAGTTTCAAACACGGCTTGAACTACCAACTTTACCACGCCCTTTCTTCGACCTCAAAGCCATGTCATACCCCAGCGAGGCGATAGATGCTCACAAAGACAATGGACCCAGCATAACGCAGAGAATCCGACCAAGTTGGCGACGAAATCGAATGCCTCGTGTCCTATTCACTTGTCCAGGTCATACGATCTGCCGAAGATGAAATGGCGAGGTCTAAAGACTATCAGCGGAAGCAATCTCTTCCCTGTGAACTGGCAGCAGAACTCTTGAACCTCAAGCCTGGAATGCGTACAAAGTTTGGTAAAGACTCTGGTATGTTCCGTAGACCCGTCGTCCACGCCCAATATATTTATTTTATTTCAGAGGCATCTCTTCCGGTACCATTATGGGATATTTTGCGACATTCAAGGCACTGCTATGTTTAAAAAAAGTGAGAGATAGTGTCTCGTGGTACATTCTTCTCAATCTGACAAGAAAAATTTTCAGACTCAGAGTTGCTTCTCGAGTTCACATGGGCTATCCAGAAACGGGCACCGGCTGTTGAAGTATATCTAGCGCTGTTATTCCCTTGCACCCATGCAGGAGGGTGAAGGTGAATGGCGAGGTTGCGAGGTTCGTTACCTGCAGTGGCACGGTGTTGCTACTAGTTTCCTCTGACACGAAGTTGCATCACCCCTACCTTCATCGGTCCAAGCTTCTGCTCGACGTTCCTGGCCACACTGTGATAGCCCTGTTCCATTTTTATTTCCCAGGCAATCAACGTTTGACTGTCTAGCTGGACTCGCATCTTACTATCGCGGGACGCCGTCGGACACCGATCAATGCAAAGAGAGAGTCTCAGGAGAAGACATGGTTCTTGAACAAATGTTGAATCAGAATACGAAGGCAGCTCCCAATTCCTTCTTTATTGTCTCACACAGCGTTGTTGGTCTGGTTATCGGTACCGTGGTTAAGACGCACACCGTTCCTTTGCTCTTGACGCGGAAGACTTCCACCACCCTCATTACCGCTGGCCCGCATTGTATTAGCAACGCTGTTGCAAAAATTATCGACCGCCATACAACAACAATAGAACGTAAAGTCCATGGAGATGTCTCATTTTTGGGAAATGAATGTTTGAAGCCAAGAGGCGTGCTAGCCGTATTCCTCCCTCCCACATCATCGGAAAAAGAGTAGGGCATTCTTCCATGCATCGTTGTCATTACGGCGATAAACACATTTGCGATACTAGAGGGCTAACACGAATCTGTGAGTATATATTAGCGTCAAATATAGAGATACCTACCTAAGTTTTAGGGTCTGTCCACTTTCCCGTTTGGAAGCTACCACGGTCTCGCATCCGACGCGGTTGCCATCATATCTCCTGTCGGTACCATGCCTCCAGCGTGTTTTAGGCAACTACAGCGTTGCATCGCGACTTACGCGAAGACGAGTCTAGCTTGTGGTGGAGTATACGGCTATCGTACTTCTCAATTCATTTCTGGGCTAGCGTGTGAGAAATCAATTGCAAGGAGACGGTTTTGGCGTTAGCCTGAAAATCGTTCTCGACTACCCTTCGTCGGATATAATGCTAGGTTCACGGTGGTGGCATTGGATGTCTCAGCGCGTCAAACTTGTTTCTCCGGAGTATTCGCACGTAGTGTGGAGAACCATACATCTATTCCTTCTGTCTAAATTCCGCCGGCTCTTGAATGACGCTGCAGTACTATCCGTGAGCCATGGCCAATGCTTCATAATACGAGCGGCCCCGAGTGGACATTTTTACTCTGATGACCCTCGAAGAGGATCAGTGTGATGATGAATGGCAGAATGGCGATGTCTTCGGGAACTGCATTGTCGGTAGTTTTTGCTGATCCTGCTGTGACTCGGACTTACTTTCCTCAATGAAAGTTTGCCCCCCCCTTTGTTTGGCCCTTAATATCCACCTCGTGCGACGTGGACCTCAGCTCTCAAACCCACTCCACCGTTTTCTTGTTCTTCCAGATGATCATTTTCGTAGCCATTACGATTTATCTGGAAATCCCCGGAATGTGGGATTTCTCGTCACACTACAAGCGCCGTACGAGACGTGCGACCAGTGACAAAAAGAGGGGGCTAGTGTATAGATGGCCGTAAAATGAACACCGTGGAATCTCAACGTGGATGCTAACTTCGATCCAGAGCAACAACACCACGCTATTCCCTGCCGGTAGGCCGCCTATCAAGAATTGGGCTGGTTCACGAGCAACGCCATTCCTTCGCTCTGGTTTCCGCCATCACAATTCTCGCTATTTGTGCAGTTATTGACCTCCGGGGAATAAACGATTCCGGTAATAAGCTAAGTATGGAACATATGCATGAAGGCCTGATTTCAGACGCGTGACGTTCTCGTTGGTGACTTCTGAGAGTATACATTGAAGACGAAACTTCATATGGATTCCTGTTGTATCGATACCTTACGTCGAAGCCTAAGCAAGTCACGTCCGACAAATTAACAATGGCTCCTTCGCGCGTTGGCCCTCATACTATCCAATGCCGAAGACTTCGATCCTGGGCTTCTTCTCTGTCGAATCTAGCCGGTATGGTGTTTTTGTCTATGCCGTGCTCTTCTCTGCACTGACTTTCCTTTTGTTTATTCCTCTCAGGACGTGCACTTGGGTTGCCAAACCTTCCGCGGAGACAGACCACTGAAGACATAATGCGCTCTTTCTTGCACCATTTTGACACCACTAACTTGCCACCTGTCGAGGATGCCGCACTCGAAGATCTTTGTACCAAAGAGGCTGAACGTCGAGGATATGCCCTTGATGCGCTTAAGCCGTACCTAACGGTTGGGCTTAACATCACTGCTTCGGCGTACCACCATCTAGTCAATGTTGACGTCAAAGTATACATCGTCTTCTTTACCGCGTTCGCCACATACTTCGACGATGTCTACCCTGATGACCCCGACGCCCTCATCGGTGTTCCTAATTTTACCAAGGTGATATCGATAGGTCTACTGGCAATGGATTCCACTTACAAGTGATTCCTTCTTGGACAGTACTTTGCTTCCTCGGAGAAGCAGCCAACCAAGATGCTAGACGACTTTGCTAACGTCTTAGCAGAAACCCCTCAGCTCTTTGGCGATGTCGCAGCTGATTTTATTGTCCAAGCGGGCCTCAGGTTCATCACTGGCTTGATTTTAGAGATACGCAGTAAATCTGAACCGGCGAGTAACCTTCACTCTCGCATTTGGCTTTCTTACTTACCGAAGATCGTAGACTCATAAAGTTGACAGATACACCGTATTTCTTCGCGAGCTCAGTGGAATCGCTGAAGCCTACACCATCTTTATGTTCCCCAAAGACCTGCCGTATAACCTATACGTCCAAGCTCTTCCCCTCCTTCGTGACGTCATCAACTTCACAAACGACATCACTTCATTCTATAAGGAGGAGTGCGAAGGTGAAACGCACAATCTCATATCTCTCTTGGCTGAAGCTCGCGCAGAGCCAAAGAGTGAGGCACTTCGCTACGTGGCAGAACAGTGCATCCAGGCGCACGAGAGGGTCTTGTGTATCTTGTCACCGCACCAAGAAGTGCGAAGCTCGTACGAAAATTTCTTTAAAGGGTATATGGCGTTCTATCTGGGAGCAAAGAGATACAGGCTTAGCGAGTTGAACCTGTAGTTTGGCATTCAATCCGAATGTGTATGTTGATTTTGGTGTGATAACTGAGTTACGCCAAATTGAGCAAGTTCTAATATTCCCATTCGGAGAAATCATTGAGTGGATCTTTGATTCCCGTGAAGGGGTCTATGTATGGGGATGGTCACTACCGTGTGTTGCCAAACGGGTACAGCCGAGTGTAGGATCAGCAGTGCTATGATTGCCGCCGGGTAGGGAGGACGATAGATATACATACACTGCTCGCCCGGTGCCGAGGCCTAGGAAAACGTGAAGGTATCGCAAGCAGCTACTTACTATGAATCTTTAGCGTGACGGTAAGTAATTCAATCTCTCAAATAAATAAAAGAACGTGTTTAAGCTCTGGTCCAGTTTATCCACATCCATAAGATTCGGAGCTATGTTCCTTCCACCTACTACTTAAGTTCTAACCCTCCGCTGACTCCCATCTTTCTCCGGGTACAAACAAAAAAAGGCGTTCAAGACGCCACAACGACATCGGTCAATACCTTCGCAACGGTGTTGAAGCGACCCCGAGTTCGCGCCAAATTCTTTGCGTAGAATTCGCGTAATTTTTTCCGCCTCAGCCGGGAACATCTGATGATATCAAAGACTGCGGAAAGAAATACAAGGGATCGATACCACGGCTCCATTAAGAAACTGAACTTGAGCATGTAGGAATGTGCAACCCCTTTTCGGCTGAAAGCCCTGGTGAAGAAGTGTTCAATATGTATCCAGCTCAATGCATTTTCTTAGTGGTACCGCATTAAGCTCCTTCCTCTTGAGGATCTCTCATGATGATGGTTTTAATATCAATGGAGCATGGCGATCAAGGATAACAGGAACGAACTCGACGACTGTTTCATCGTCCATCGTCAATCTCGTCAGTACCTAATACCGGCGCCTGCACTCTTTGGCCAACTCTTACGGTTGTTTATCTTCGTTGCGGTCGTAATAGCAGCAACATGGTAAGCCGAAGAAATCACCAGTACATTGCGTGCCTTTTAAATCTCCGGACCGTACTTCGACGAGGACCGGGTCCGGATATCTTGGAGCAAGTTTGTATATGTTGGCGCCGCATGAAGAAGCTCGCAAGGCATTCGAATATGTTGGAAGGTGATATTTAGCATTTCATCTGGGTATAGAGAGATATCAACTTAGCATAGAGGGCCGCTGAGTGAAAGGCCTCAGAATGGTAGCGGAGCTATGATAAAATTGGTTTGGTCTGCATTTTGGTCTGTATCATTAATATAGTGATACCGACTTCGATCCGAACTGAACTGTCGACGGTTACAGCGCCTGACCGGCACACCAGTCAGTTATATGCGTCTAAGTCTAACGAAAGTGTCTGTATACATGAAGATGAGTGTTACTCCATGGACAAGAAACGGAGTGGCAAACGAGACACGGGCCGTATTTTCTTTCCGTATGTGACGATTGAGACGAAGAAAATGGAGTGCGATGTTCTCTTCTCTTGTCCGGAGCATGCATACTGACACCGAGCTGATACATTCATTTTGGCGTCATTCTGGTGGTGTTAATAGTTCATGTCATAAGCTAACCGAAGTTAACCTTCTCCTAGGTCCCATTACCGGGCCTCATTTGGCCGTCACAGAATTCACTTTCGCGTATCAAACGTAGCCAAAGTGTAACAATAGCGTGTTTTTGTGAGGCACCCTTACCCGCTTCGAGTGACTTTGATGCTTTGGCCGAGACGAATGATGAATACCAGATCCTCCAACTGGGGTATTGAGCCTAGGAGGGCCACCACATCATCAAATAGTTAATTCAGCACCTCCTTGTGCAGTTGTTTACAAACTAAATAGAAACCATGAAACAATTTGATAAGGCGAAACGACGGGTAAGAATTCGTAAGGAAAGCGAAGTTGGTGGGCAAGATCAGAGGTGGTAACCCAAGGGTCAGAAGACAGATAATTGATCCCCCAGTGTTGACATGTTTTGAATCGCTATAACCAAGGGAAGTCGCACAGTCGCACTGTGACACTTGCTGTGCCTTAGGGGCGGGAATGTGCTCCTTTGATGAGGAGGGGTTGGAAAGCACGGACGACGAAGAATGGGGCGATAGTGTTTAGCGCGAAGATGTCGGCCCAGTTCTGGAGGGTCTCGGGTTCGAAAGGATCTGCCGTCGCAAACTTCGCCATGAAGTCTGGGTCGCGAAGGGAGCTGGCGAATCCGGCACTACAGTGATGTTAGCGTAGGAAATTGACAGCACCACGGACGAACTTGTTGATGAGGATATCGAGCTTTCCATCGATTCCTTCGATGTGTTTGGCCCCGGCCTTGACGCTCTCTTCGTCTGTGACGTCCATCTGGATTCTGTATGTACATCAGAAGCGAATATCGTAGGAAGAGAGCAGCTGCCTACGGGACCGTTGTACGCTTTGGCTCCATTTGCAGCAAAGTTTTTCGCAATGCTGAAGCCTCTACTGACGGGTTGAGTCAATTGTGGATCACGGAGAAAAGTCAGGACACGTACATCCGTACATCCCCATCCCTCCGCCTGTAATCAAAGCTATATGTCCGGTCAGTGACAATACCGTAGACACATTCAGGTCTGCCATGTTCGGAGAATGTTGGACAGTCTCTGGACATGATCCTTTTTATTCCAGCAGTCTAACTGTCGGTGTTGGGTAGACCATTTGTAAGACCATCCTTCTCCCGGCCCATGATGGTCAGTGTTATGACTCTAGTTCAGGCCCGCGAGCTTCTTGTGTGAAGAAAGGAAGAAAGTGCGGAAACAGGTGCTCTATGTGCCCAGACATCTTGAAATACAGGCCTGAGAACCGTTTAGCTGAGTAAATTTCTCTCGCAACTCACCTTTATCATCGTGTCCTATCAATCCGCCCAGGCCAAAGTCCTACAACAAAAGCAACACTGAGGACCATGTGTGCTGGATATCGCCGGGATTATGCTTGAACTTCATGGTTCGGATCCACTGTGAGATTTGGATTGTGGTACAAATTGAAGGGTGCTTCAGCTTCCTTGTTAGCTGATAGGGAAGAAATGGCTTGAACAGATAACGAAGACGCAGGAGCGCGGTAGAGCGGCAAAGGACGGCAGGCAGCGTCGGAGTTTCAAATACGGCTTGAACTACGACCGCCACCACGACCTTTTATTTACCACACCCTTTCATTTCTTCTACATCAAAGCCATGTCCTCCCCCAGCACAGAGACGGATGCTCACATCGAGACAATGGACCCCGCACAACGCAGAGAATACGACCAACTTTTCAACGAAGCCGTACACCTCAAGCTCAAGCTCAAGCGTGATCTCGAACGCCTCATGTCCTATTCAATCGTCCAGATGATGCAATACGCCGAAGCTGAAATAGATCTGTCTAAAGACTATCGGGAGAAGCAATATCTTTACTGTGATCTGGCGGAAAAAACTCCGGGACCTCAAGTCAGGAATTCGGAAAGCGTTTGGTGAAGATTCTGGTACGTTTCTGTGGATACTTTGTTCACGCCTAGTATATTTATTGCATTCCAGAGGCGTACAGGTATCTGCTTCTAGAAGAAAAAGTGGTCACTTATCGGTGATTATGCTCTCTGCTGTATCTCGGTGACTCGCCAACGTTTGGTTGAACTAGGCTTACTGGCGTGATGGTTCTTCGTCTGCTCTGGTCACCAATCTTCTGGCTCGTGATATTGTCTCCCTTTCTCCTCTGGTATCTATTCTGGTAGCTTGGCGGCTGGTGCGTCTCGATGATATATTGCAGATGTTCATTGTCTGATGTTTGAACAGTGTTTGTCTACATTATTCTCCCTATACCGTTCCTGAAAGAGTCTTACACCTAGTTTTGTACCTACATCATGTCGTGATGAAACCGAACCTTCTGTAATGTCATGATCTTAGCTTGTCCTTTGGTCTGGGCCGAATTGAAGGTCTGGCGCACCTCAAGCAAATGAATCGTTGTAGTAACTGTTCAATGTTCATGCATTCGTGCTCCATGTATGCTATAGAAACGTCTTCGTACGAGGCGCCAACAATAGCGCAGGCAGTACCTCGCTTGTTGCGAGCGTTAGCGAGCATACATCGAATATACACGAGGCCCCGCCAAACTCATTCACCAAGCACGAACAAAGACACGCCGGGCGGATTCCCGCCTCCTCTAGAATCGTCTTTTTTGCTCGCATCTTCTTCAATTCTCTATGGATTCCTCATTACCGCGAGATTCAGGTGGCGAAAGTATGTATGCATTGTTTTGCAGCATCTCAACGGGCGTCAAGTTTATCACCGCTAGTCTATTCTTTTCTGTTTCGCCACTGTGTTACAAGAGCATGACTCGGGTCGACACGAGATTCTCCCACATACTGACGCTAACGCTCACTCCCGTGGGTCCCCCCACTATCCAGATTTCTAATGGGGATGTCTTTCAGCACAACACCCTGTCAAATAGTGGCCACATTCCTTGCAGGATGTCTACAGGGGATGGTAGTGTTGGAAAGGAAAACAAGTTTGATTCCATGCAAGATCAGATGATCAAATATTCAAGGATTCACCAGCGATACTCCACCATCGACGCTCAGAACTGTCCCGTTCGTATAATCCGACACAGCCAAGTAGACCGCTGTCATTCCCATCTCCGCCTCACTAGAAACTCAAATCAATATCCATTCTCACCCGAGAGCCTGAAAACACTCACGTCCCTTGCCTCTTCGCAGGAATCGGCGCGACAAACCCAGGCAATGGCTTGGTTTTGATCGATTCCAAAACCTCAGGACTAACCAGCTCAGACGCAAACAAGCCGGGCGCCAGTACATTCACCCGAATCGGGATATCCCTCCCAGCAAAACTCGTAGCTAGAACAAGTGTGAGCTTTTCCAAACCAGATTTTGTTGCAGTGTAGGCGACCTAAATCAGGGTTTAGCTTAGCTAGACAAGCTACTTAAAATGGACGGCATAGCGCATACAGAGCCCATGGGGCCCAATGTGTTTATCTTTGCCCCTGTGCTGCTGACATTGATGACGCTTGAGGTGCCTCGGACACGGGACTGAGCTCCTTTGACGAGGAGGGATTGGAAGGCGCGTACGACGAAGAACGGCGCGATCGTGTTAAGCGCGAAAATGTCAGCCCAGTTCTGTACGGTCTCGGGTTCAAAAGGATCCTCGGCAGCGTATTTCTTCGCGACGAAGTCTGGGTCACGAAGGGAGGCGGAAAATCCGGCACTACGAAGATGTTAGCGTGGGGGTCTAAGAGGAACACGTAGACGAACTTGTTGACGAGGATATCGAGCTTGCCGTCGATTCCTTCAATGTGCTTCGCCCCGGCCTTGATGCTCTCTTCGTCTGTGACGTCCATCTGGATTCTGCAGGTGCGTCAAAGACGAATAGCACCATGAGGAGAAAACAGCTGCCAGCCTACGGGACAATGGATCCTGGAATGCCTGTGACTGACGTTGCAGCCTGCTCTAGCACATCCAGCCTACGTCCAGTGATGTATACTTTCGCTCCGTTTGCAGCAAAAGCTTTGGCAATCATAAATCCTCTGTCAGATAGAGTCAAGCATGAGTCGTAAAGAATCGTGAATCAGAGAACATACATCCCTGTTCCTCCGCCTGTAACAAGGCCTACTCGACCAGACAATGACATCACTGTAGCCATGTTAAGATCTGCCATAGTTGTGGAATGCTGAAGCTGAATGGCTTCTGGGACACAGTGCCTTTTTATTCCAGTGGGTCGTTTGCCTAGATGACATAAACTCTGGTCTTATTCAGCGAGAGTATATCCCGGTGTATGCGGTAAATGGTGGGTTTTACGTTGCGAAATAGCCCGCATTCCCTCATGACACGGAAGTTCTTGTTCTCGGGCCCGAAATCCTATTTATCGGCTCATGGACACAACATTGTGTCAAGAAAGGAACCTTCGTAGTGATTATTCACGCTCTTCCACGCATGTCGTCGAAAGGTCTTTGTGCGAATACGGAGAAAGAGTGCAGACACAGACACCATATCGTCTGAGAAACCTTGAAACAGAAGCCGACTGCGAGTGAAAGGTGAGTAATGGTAGCAGTGATCCCATCGGCAGCTTCATCATCGATCTGCGTAATCAAGTCAACGTTCCGGGCCATGCTCCTTGATGGGCAGCCACTGGTATGAGAGTGTCCTCGGCAATCCAGTCAATGACGGCCCGTCACGCCAAGCTAGCTATGTACGAGATATACCATAATCTTCGCCCGGTGTTGCGTACACCGTCACCACCTCTTCGATCGTTCCTTTCGTGCTCTTGGTCGGGGGGCACTGAGCTCTGCCACATTCTGTCCAGATGATTTGATAGTTTCTTCAGATTCGATAGTAACCACGGTTTTGGCACTGAAAAGAAAGACACAAGTGTCCAGTGGGTGGAGTTTTTACTTCAAGAATTCCAGTTGTTGCTTTTACAGTCTTTGTCAGGCACATTCAGACCAGCTGAGTGTCTTCTCGTTTCAAAAAGTTCTTCAGATTCGGCGGTCACAGCGGCTCCGAGGCTAAAGAGAAAAAAATGAACATCCATTCAACGATATTGGTTGTAGTCAGAATGGTATTTCAAATCCGGTCCGCTGGCCCGCCACTGCTTCCTACCCTTTCCTACCTGCCATCATGGACTCCAGTAGTCCTGTGACAGTACCTTCTATGTGGCAAGCCGACGATAGAAGCAGCTTGCTCCATATGCAGGATGGTAACGAGACTAGGGCTCCGGCGGACCAGCGCAGCGCAGGACGATTGCCTCAACTTGCGATACATCTTATTATATTCCTTATTCAGTCTAAGTTCTCTCAGCAGCATTCGCCAACGCAAACCCAGAACCAGAACCGACCTCTTACACGCACTACAAACACTCGACGATACCAAAATTACAAATTACCTGTTGGGCGAGTGCATTGGATGGGCGTCTGGATGGATACCGGTTTACAAAGGGTTCTTCTGGAACACCAGAACCGATAAATGCCACACATGGAGCTGCCGCTAGACCAGCTGAGAAGTGACAGTCTGTTCAGTTTAAACGCGACTGTTAGCACGGTTTCAAACAGGACTTTTCTTGCTCAAGTGCCATTAAAAGGTGACTGATCCAATTTATTTGACGCGCACTCATTCTGATTGAAAATTAGCCCGTAACTCGCCCTTCAGTCGAGTTCATTTATTCACTACCCTGCTGGCCGAATCCAGACTATCGGAACATTGAATACTTCTAATTGCAGCGTCCGAGTCCGTGAAATTGTTCCTCCTTGGCATAGAAGAGCATGAATAATCACAACGAAAAATTCCTCTTCTGACACAGTAAGCGGAGCGTCGGGTCTGAGAAATTTGTCAAGTTGCTGACGGTACGGGCGGAATGCTACTTCACCAGGGTCTAGTCGTACTGAATAATACCACAGATACCATTATAAAAGAGACCATGCACAGAGATTCCCAGAACATGGCAGATCTCAGCGTTACCACAATGATGTCGTTGTCTGGACGAGTAGGTCTCGTTACAGGCGGAGGGACAGGAGTGTAAGCGTTGGGTTTCTCGATTATGATTTGCGGTTGATTCTTCAACAGAGGACTTATGATGGCCAAAGCCTTCGCTGCAAATGGAGCGAAAGTATACATCACTGGGCGAAGGCTGGATGTCCTAGAGCAAGCTGCTGCGTCAGTCACAAGTGTCCCGGGATCCATTATCCCGTCAGTGATTCTCCTTTCTGTAGGTTATTCGTTGCTAAACGTGTACACAGACTCCAGATGGATGTTACCGACGAAGAGAGCGTCAAGGCTGACGCAAAGCATATTGAAGGAATCGATGGCAAGCTCGATATCCTCGTCAACAAGTTTGTCCATAGTATCCTTAATTCTCCTCTTTCATATGCCAATCTCTTTGTAGTGCTGGTTTATTCTACTCCCTTCGCGATCCAGATTTCCTTGCGAAAAAGATCGCAGCGTCAGATCCCTTTGAACCCGAGACGGTACAGAATTGGATGGACATCTTTGCAGTAAACACCATCGCACCGTTCTTCGTTGTCCGTGCCTTCCAGTCCCTCCTCATCAAAGGAGCGCATTCCCGCCCTCAAGGCACCTCAAGTGTCATCAACATTAGCAGCTCGGGGGCAAAGATAAACACAACAACGCCGATGTTTTGTGTATGTGCTCTGTCGTTTCCTTCAAGTTTGACCCAGGACTAACTAAGACTTTGCTTAGTTGGCATTGGGAACGACGAAAGCAGCCCTGGAAAAGCTCACCCTTGTTTTAGGGACGAGCTATGCGGGGAGAGGTATTCCCATTCGGATGAACGCGCTCGAACTTGGTTTGTTTCCATCGCAGATGAGTACTCCTGAGTTCATGGAAATGGTCAACTTGGACCCATCACCTGGGCATGCGGCTACAATACCTGCAAGGAGGGTGGGAACGTGAGTATGTTCGGCATATGGAGAAGATTGGATATTGATTTGATTCTTACTAGTGACGTGGACATGGGGAGGGCGGCAATCTATTTAGCGGTATCTGACTATACCAATGGAGCGGTTTTGAGTGTTGATGGTGGGGTAACGTTGGTCAATCCTTAAGAGTTGATCATCTAATGAAATTGTGCGACTTCTTTCTTTACGGAGCTGGTATACGAACACGGCGAAAGAGCAGACACATGTGCCCTAAGGGCTGGGAGACCCTGAGACAGAAGCTCACTGCGAGAACAACCCATTTAGCTGAGTAATCGTAGCTGCATTGACTTAATCAGCACATAAGCCTCAGTCCTAACGTCGTTTCAAAGCTACTACTATCATTAATTACTGTAACACTCTCACCCTTAAGGGCACCTGAGAGCCTAAGTGCGCCTTCCCCTTCACAACGGGTACAACAGCCGGCGAGCCAGGGAAATGAAGAATCTCAACGCCTCCCTCAGGCAAACTGAATTCGAAGTGTAAAAGCAGGTTGGCTAGGATTGTTTGCATTTCCATGATCCTGGATGTCACCAATGGGTTTGAATGAAACGAAACTCGGAAGAGGAGGGAGGTACATACGCAAACCGCCACCTATGACAGGAAGAGGATCAGCAGGAGAACGAGATAGATCGTAGTAGCAGTTACTTACCCGATGCATGAACGAGATCCAGAGCCTGAGCGTCACGTCAGTTGGAGCAAAGGTTCGCTGAAAGATAACTCACTAAATGACATCCTAACGTCCCCCCAAATAAGTGTCGAGAGCGCGCACACGAAGCCAAGATTCCACTCACAGATTAGCGTACACACCCAGTGATACAGGTAATGTCTTGTCCAAAAACCGAGACGGGTTCCATTCCTCCGCATCGGCTCCCCAGAGAGATGGCAGACTAGAAATGGTTCGTGTCAAATTTACGTTGAAGCGAGATGGGAAGAGCGTACCGGTTGTATAGATAAGCAGAACAAGCAAACGTCTGCCCCTTGGGTACTGCAAGCGTCTTCCCTTCGGAGAGAGGTAGAAAATCATCGTGAGGGGCGGTACGTATAAAGGAATGTATAATTGGGTGCAGACGAAGAATTTCCTGTCACCAGTGATCAGCGCGTGGATCCGACAGTAAGCAACGTCTAATTGTGCTCACTTTAATTGCGGCGTTCAAAAATGGCATAGGGTCGTAGTCATTCGATTGTTTGAGCTCTGCACGGATTATGGACTGATGCTCAGGATGCATGGCGAGTTCGTATAACAACCAGGACAGACTGGTGCTCGATGTCTCGAATCCGGCAATGACAAAGGTCCTGGAACGAAAGTGAAAGGCTTAATCCGACGAAGGAAATGCAACAAACATTAGCTGTGCCTCGATTTCGTCATCCTGCATAGTGCCTGCTAAGCGCGCTCTCGCTAGAGATGAAACTGTATTGATAGGCACATATCAATAAAAACCAACGAACCAACCTAGAATATTGACAATATCTCTATCAGCGTCTGGCGCCGGGTATCTGCGGCTTACCTGGACATTACACCCCGATTTCCGTGGACTTCCAGGAATTGCAGTGAAATCCCATGTACATTGATTTGCATTCATTTACATTACTGTACAACGATGTACATGACTGTGCATGGCCTTATCCGTACCTGATGACACCTTTGCCTATGCCGATAAAGCATCGCCTCCGTGCCTTTTACCATCATACCAAATCACCGCCCGTGAAATGCCATGCAAAAACCTTCCCAAATGACTTTCGTGTACATTTGTGTACTTCAATGTACTTCCATGTACACTTGTCACGTTCTATCACGCTCTCTCGATCAGTAGGTCCAGAAGCCTGTGTCTACCGCACTTTCAGGTCCCCTCTCCTGTATCCCCTGTTTCAGCCATTTGTCCCCATTCGCTACCCTCCCGCACGAAATCTCTTAAATCAGTTGTTTCCACTCCCCCTGGCTGACAATGCACCATGTTGGATAGTAGCCGCTCTCAAGAACAGACTTTGGAGGACCAAGCCAATGAAGGCGCTGCAGCAGTCGACTTTGAACAGGACAGACAGCCACCACGGATGAACGTGGTGACCATTGTGGGTATGTTACCAACCTTGTTTGCTGGGGAGTAGCAGGACTGACTGGCTGATCTCATTGATTCTCGATTCCGTAGGACAAAGAAGCCCCAATCATGGTGCCGGCGGCGACCTCTCGATGCAGTGGGCGATCTCGTTCTGTGACATGCTTTGCGTCAGGGCATCGCAAAATGCCGCCCGTGTTAGGAGTCGTCGGCTAGTTTCGAACGTGGTGGTGGAGAGAGCATGGGCTGCCATAGGGGAATTGGTTAGAAGTCATCCCAACCCCAACGCGGCGGTACAGCAGTCCGCTTGGAGGGTTGATCCCTATTCGCGCATGATCTTGAACGCCCGAACCACGTCGACCCCAGCAACAGTACGAGGCGATTGGGGGGAGCAGGTGGGAAAGCAGGATACAAGCGAAGGCATACACAATTCGATCAGGCGCACAAAAGCGCATCTGAATAGTGGCGAACATCGCCATGAGACGTTACATGCCGCAACTGGCCATAGCTAATAGTAGACTGTAGTAGAAAGTAGCCACGCATCATGCCGACTTCGGCATGACATGTCATGCGATGTCACTGAAATACTGGTTGCGATTTGACTCCCGCCTTGCATCGTGCCGTGACAGTAATGTCGGCCATGTTTCCGCCTGGACGTTGTGGTTGGCGGCTGTGTTGTAGACTCCACCCTGGTACTCCACCTGCCCCGGCACACTGTCGTGCAGCCTGTCAACGCGGGGCTGTCATCCAGATCACAGATATGAGGAGATACGACGCTGCATGAATATTGAGGCACAAGATATGAAATCGATGTGAAAATCATGGACGAGGCGGGAATGCATATTTAAATGCCAGGAACGAAATTGGTAGTGAATACCCATCCTCTGAAGTGCAGAGGTGCATCGTAACGGTCTCAATGCAACAGCTTCTGCTTGGCGAAGTAACACGCTCTGGTAGGACTATCCGGGCGACAGCAAGGCTGCGCGACTTAGGTACGGCGACTCATCTTCCCTTGTTGAACAGTGGGCTAATGGGATGTGACTGAGCAGATGCGACAGCATTGTGGGCCAGTGATCCTCCCAGTTCAGATTATGATCCCAGCATGCACCCCGACCCCGACGATAGCAGTGAAATTGGTCAGAATGAGGGAGATTATACCGTGGACGGCAGTCCTTCTGTTGGGCATGATTTGGACGCGAGTGTGAGCAGGGATTCAGGTTGGTCTCGAGCCTTCAAGGCTGCGTTCGAAGCTTTCGTTGACAAGGAGCCCCCTCAGATCAAGTAGTAGGGGCAGGTTAGCAATTCTGTGTGTGGGTTAGGGTGTGAATCTAGGAGGATCTGACTTTATGATATCAGGTTCAGTCGGCTATGTGAACGACGATATTGCAGATCCACAGGAGGCGGAACTGGCTATTGAGCCAGAAACACTAGGTGCATAAGATTCCTAATCTGCGGGTGGTATTTGTTGTTAACACCCTGCTTACAGACTTGTCAACACTGTTCAATGGGCTGCGTGAGCATTCTCCTCCTGAGCCTGATGAGAGCTTGGACCCGGACGAGGTTCCGCGTGAGCAAAGCTGACCCGGGGAGGCAACAACGACATCGACGACCACGGAAGGCGTTGTAGCTGGAGAGGCTGGGGGGGTGTCATTAGGTGTGTTGTGCTAGTGCTCTGTCATAACTTTGTATGCTGAGCAATAGAGGCATTTTGCCAGACCTGGCCAATTTATTCGCGCAGCTGCGAGATAACACCGTTTCCCAGGACTCTTTCGCAACTGGTACCAACTTACAATCGGAGACTCAGCTCACGACGTCCTTGCTGCTGTTCACAGAAAGCTCATCCGTGCCGCAATCACCTTGCAATGCTATGGCAATTGATAACGATGCGCTCGATGATATGCCTTTGCCATCGTCCGACGATGAGATGGAAGATCAAGATGTCTACAACGAATTCCTACCAGAGGCGTTCCCAAACCAACGCATTTGAAGGACGATGTGAGCGGAACTGTCGCTTGGCCGTGCGTGGGATGGACTAACATGCTCTCTACCTCAGATTTGCAGAGGTGACTGTTTTCGTCGGGTACGAATCGTTGGATAGATGTACCAGTGTCTATGTCGAACGGGGGCTGTACATCAACGTGACAGATGACCCTGTCAATCCCACAGCGAGCATCAGTGCATGTGACTTCGTCGATCTTTGTCTTGCTTTTAAGGCGGATTTCAGAGGGACTGCTGGAGCGCTGTCGCACTCTGGAAAACCGTACGGGACGTCTGGTAGATCAAGTGCTGAGAGACCAGTTGCCGTACATTGTTGGGACCAACAACAAACCACTCTCGCTCACTGCTGTGCAGGCGACAGTGGCGGGACAAATGTTGTATCAAGAACTTGGTCGACTGGACAGGATCTTAGATTCAAGCTTGGACAACCTCCGCGCACTTCCTTGTTTAGATTGTCCTGAAAAAGAGCAAGTCGACGCCGCTGCAGCGACGTGCAGTGGAGTGGAGAGCCTGCCGTGCTATGTAATCTATCTGACTTCGCCTGTAAGTGTGCGGTGTTCTGGTGGGCTGGGAGACAGCGGTTCTAACAGATCTTTCTCAGGAATGGGACAGTACAGGAAACCTTGAGTCGGGTGCAGCATCTGCTTCAGTGCCTGCGTCTTCATCCGCAGGCTCAAGGTCCGAGGAAGTTACTGTTCGTCGACGAGCGGTGCGTGGCATGTGAATCAGATTGACCTGTGCTCAAGCGTCTTTCATTTAGCTGACTCCCTGGATTGCGGTGCGCAGTCGGGAGGAAGATTGGCCATGGTGGGACACTGTGTTTCTGACGATGATAGACGTCTTGGTTACTCTGGGAACGAAGAACTGGAATTCGACGTATAAGCGTTTTGCAGCGGTTCAGGTGGTTGTTGCCATCTCGGAAAAGTTAGGGCTGGTGGTGCATGGTTGGGGGCGCAACAACAGCCTCGTCCCCATGCAGACTTGGCTGCTCGATAGGATGTCAAGCCGTCCGGCACGATATCTCCATGTCGAGTGGAGGACTTTCCAAAATTGGGTTTCAGCGCTATGGAACGATTTGGAGCTGGTGTATCGGCATCTGGTGAAACGCATCACAGATAACTTGCCTCTCAGTGTGGACAGCGGTCGAGTGTACGACCGATTGAGAGTGTGGTATACGCTTCCTCTGGCGGATGCAATGACCGGCGCGTATACCCCAACAGATCAGGAATTGCTGGTGCTTAAGGATACGACACCGTATGAGAGTTGGACTGTGCTGATTGCTGCGCAAAGAGTGGAGGCTAGGAATGCCTCTTCTGGAAGTGGGAGGGGTACAGTAGCGCTTTAGAAGAGTTAGTTAGAGAATATATACCACAAACAGAGAATCATTAGTTTAAATTTTGTTATCTGCTCCCTAGTCAGTCCAGGAGGAACATGGAACAGCAGTAAAGATGACCTTTTTCTGCCAATTAAATTTTGCTGGGTTCGAGCACCTCCCTCCAGCTAGGTCACGTATCGTACATTGGGAAATGGGGAACAGGGGGCATACGTTGGTTGAGGAACAACAACCGACATCGACCTTCCGCATACGTCAGTATCTTGTGAAAATAACTAACCTCCATATTATCCAGGTTGTTGGACGTCGATACGTCGAGTTATAGCAACATCCACTACTGTTTGTGAACCTTCGTAAAGCACAAGGCTATGCATATTAAATTACCATGAGCAACAGATTAAAGACCAAGGTACCTAACACTTACTTTCGCTCGCCAGTAGGCGATGCGTATAGTCAACGCTAGGTATCAACTATTAGAACGTAAGAAGTCAGCATCAATACACGGCACAAAGAACTAACCTCCATGTAATCCAGCTCGCTGAACGTCGCTGATACATTGTGTGTCAGCGTAAACAACGTACATGTGGCCAGTGAGCGAGGACACCTAGTGTAAAGGCGACGTAGACGAGGTAGACAAAATATCAACAATGGCGGGGATTGTGGCAGGTATGCAGAGGGGTGGTAAGTACTTCTCATCGACTCGCTTTAGCGTTGAGATGACATGTCATCATCCGATGTGTGCAAGGACATGGAAGGGCGGTGGACAATGGTTTTTGAAGGCAGTAGCAAGTCCGGCCCACCGAACCGGGACTGGCTTCCATCAATCACAAGAGAAGCACAGCCTATGCCGGTGGGAATCAAGAAGCACCCCGCCTCTCTCCCATACCCTTCTCTTCCTCGCCGTACCCCAATCCAATACGCACAGCGCATTCACGTTCTAACGGCACTAGTACTCCCCAGCCAACCTCCAATCCACCGCATACTGCATGTCAGAAGCTCCCCGCCTTTCTACCCTATCCTTCCCTTGCTCTCTGCACCTAGTTCATTCCTCCTCCTTCCATGTCGACTTCCAACGCACGAAGCACGGTCAAATGGGGATCTAATGGCGCCGATACTCCACAGCTAACCTCTAATCCACCCCATCTTGCGCCTCAACCCCTCGGCAGAGACAAGCCATTACCATCATTACCGCCTCGACCAGACATTCAGCGAGCAGCAGCTCTTCAGCACGCTCTTGGACCCCAACGCAACGTCCTGCACCTGTCGTTCCATCGACCACCCCTCACCGTCAAAAACAAAGTCCGTCTTCTCCACGCTGGCAAATACCATCAATGAGTCAACCTGCCAGGCGTAGGCAGACCCAACAGAATTTCTCTACCTCCACCATACTCCCCCCTTGACCCTCATCTGGCCGCCCCACCTGTCGTACATTTGCCTCCCCAACTCGTCGACAATCCCAACAAACGTTGGGCACAGACATGTGCTGGCGGGACCGGCCTTACAGACACCAATGTCGGTGCTCTCGATGACTAGCCGAACATGGCATCCCGCTACAGAGACACTCGTACAGGCCGTGTCAGGAAATTTTTCACCACCTGCAGGCTCTGGCTCAAGGGCCATCGTCCTAACTAGCACCCAACATCGTCCTATTAGAAGGTTTGGTCGCCTACAAACTCCCTGTGTCGTCCTAACCATTTTTCTGCAGATTGTATAGTTGCCGCTGACTACTCTCCATGCTCTTGCTAGCGTTTACTCCCTGTGTAACTTCCACTTCTTGCTACCTCAAACCTTTCTTGATGTTGTCCTGATGCTTTTGTTGCACTTACTATATCTCATGCTTATTTACAGCCATCCTGTTCACCTGTAGTATATTCACCTATGTATCACAACGTCATCGACCTCCCTTGTAATATATTGTAACCTGTGTACCAAATAGGATAATCAGCTTTGTTAACATGAAACTTGAATATCGCTTCACCTTTCCTACTTTGTGCACGACAACAGCTCCTGATTGAGTGATTCTGGGGTGCAGTCTTCCACCATAACCACCTTTATCATATCGATGAACTGTCATGGTGGCATCAAAACCAGGTGCTATCAAATCAAGAGACACCTACCACCTTCAATGTTAGCCACAGTCACGATCTTGGTGACACTGTTCTGCAACACGGTCAGGTGATATGAGGTATTATTTAAATCACAGACTCACCAAGATGATGACGATGAAGATCTGTTGCTGAGGTGCTATCAGATCAGGTGCTATCTTTTTTTTTATTTTTATTTTAAATCCTAAGTGTATTGGTTATGCAAGCATATGTTCCAATTTAACTACTTGTTCCTGGTTACTGTGTATATGATGTCATCAATTGGTACGGTCACAACTAGCCCGTGCGCTTTGGCACGAAATTATCCCTCGCCCTCAATAATTTGGTGCGACTCAGACACTGCCACTTTTTCCCTCTTGGGAAATCCTGACCTCTGCCGAGAAATGGCTGCAATCTGTCCATCACCGTCATTTCTTCACCTGACCCTTCTCATGGCCTAGTCCTACTTCCCACCAGACTCCATCAATCCCAGTCCTTCTCTGATCTCTCTTTCCCAGACCTGCCTTACTTGGCCAAGATCATCAACACAGTGTGATCAATTGATGCAGGGGCAATGTGCCGGGCCGTGGTGTGCTTGGATCACCACTCCATTTTGTTTACACCTGGGTCCCAACCAGGTGGCAGCCTTGTGGCATGTGACTCCGTTTCCCTGTCTTATTCGAAAGATCACTGGGAGGGCCTCGAACCGATGCCCGGAATGGCAAGGAGAGATAAGATTTGTTGTGTGATTTTAGAGGGGGTAATGTGTGACTTGATCATATTTGGAAAGGGAGGCTGCGTTTCACGTGATTCGGACATCGGAAGTGGTAGAACCCGGAAAGTGTCTAGATTGTTACTTTCTGGGGGGTGGGGGGCTCGAACTCGCGAATACGAAAATAAATTTTTCTGTGCAGAACGAGGTACAATCAAGCAAGAAGAGGTGACCACTACACCATCTGCCCCCATCAGGTGCTATCAAAACAATATACTTAGCCTATCCTTCAATGTTAGCCATGATGATGTCTTAACACGGTTAAGTGCAATCACCTACTATTGAAACTATTGACTTACTGCGATGGCCACGATGAACATCTGTTGCCGGATACTGGGACGACAGGCCGGTTACCACCCTGGATGCAAAAAAGCAATAGCCATGGACAACATGCCGTGATAATCAATAGTTCAAGGTGCAATGATGGCTGAGAACCTGTCAAGATGTGAACAGGTAGTATCAAAGCACACTCACAATGATGATGGCGACGAGCAATGCTTGTTGATGAGCACTGGGCTGAAAGACCGGATTCCTTCCTGCTCAAAAAAGCAATGGTCGGTGTGGGTGGCCTTCCCACCCTTATGGCCTCTATCCCCCAGCCCGACATCCACAATATGCCATCTCAAACTCACACCACTACCCAGCGCATGCCCAATCAGCCGTTTGACCATACTGACTTCGCAGAGCAAGCACACGTTCAGGGAGCACACGCCTATCAATACTGTCTTCAACAGCAAGCAGAGCTCCCACACTTCCTTCATCACTGCACACTTCCCAGTCGTGTGCTAGATGCAGACGTTCACCACGCCACCATACTGGAGCAATCGCTCGCAGCCCAGCACGATCACTTGGATCCATCTTTCCATACCCCACCCCTTACCCACGAAACGAAAGGTCGATTGTTGCAATCGCGCCTACACCCTCCACCTGTGCAGGCTACCTCTCGTCTTCTCCAGCCAGATCAGCGTACCATCTCACGGAACAGGGTGTCATGCCCACCCCCGTACTCTATGCTTTTTCCCGCTGGCGGCCATTCCAATCTACCTCCTGTATGTGCCGTTGTTCCCGGGGAAGGCCCTGGTATTTCTGGTCCACCTCTCAACATGTCAACAGTCATTCCATGTGCGCAAAGTCTGGTACTACCTCCTCATCGTGGCCGTGTCCGGAAGTTCCTAAGGAGGTGCAGCCGATGGATCCGGTGCCACACCTGAGTGAGAACTTCGTGGTGGTGAGTGGTGTACGTGAGATCACAACATGAGTTCTCCTAAGCTCCCCAGGCCCTCTGTAACCATGTAACCATTCTCCACATATTCCTGGCTCGTCGTGGATGGCTGTCCTGAGAAAACCAGATGTTTTCCCCCAACTTTCCTTGCCTCAACGTTTTCGTAGTTCACGGCTTCATGTGGTTATTCTTCTTGTGCCCATGCCCTGCTCACATGGATGATACAGAAGCAGAGGTCTTCTAGTTGTATATAAGTGCTATTTATTGTGCGACATCAGTAGTATAGCAAATCTCCGTTGTATCTATATTACCCTGAAGAAATTTTGTCAGACTCTTTCATATGAGGCTGCATACACCCTTACCTTTCCACATCTCACGTCAGGGCAACTGATTCCTGCATCCTTCTATGGCCACGTCGACTTCCACCTTTCAAGGCCTACACCAGTCCTGTCCACGTCTTGTAAGGCGTCGTGCCCTTCAAAACAAGCAGTTCTTGGTCCATCGGCACGTAACTTCCTGTCATCGCCTGCGCCAGAGGAAGTGTACCACTGTTCTCATTCTCACTCCAGTCACCGTTCATGTCGCCATCCAGGCGGTTCATCAGCGATCCGAAATCGATAATGCCCGAGCTGGAGCCATCAAATGGGTTCGAGAGTATTTCATCACCATTATTGGCACCTTCGTTCACCTCGGGTGGCGGAGCCTCATCGCCAGAATGGTCGATAGGTCGACTGAGTCCAGCCATGAGACTATCGAGATCTTTCCATCCTCGAATGAGTGTCTTCGCTATCACGACATAGATGAACTTGCTCACCAAAAGACGAGGCACCCTCGATAGTCCTGGGTGATACACGACCTTCAACCGACTCCTCGTCTACCTCCATCGACTCCATCAGAGGAGCCTCAGATGGAGATGATTTGGGATCCTCTATCTCGTCGTCTGAGGGTGATATCTTGCTACTTGGCGCATCTGCCTCGGGGTCATATTGATATTCGGGGCTCGCAGGATCGCTTGCCATCAACACAGCCTCACGATCTGGACATTGAAGCTGCATAAGCTCACGGCTGGAGTAGAGTACAGTGTGGATCATACCTCGTTCCCATCATCGACTGCTGGCTACAATGGGGCACCCTCTGGAGCTCACAGTGGACGAACTTCCCAATGGAAGATCTCACATCCTGCGTCGTCCACACGCCAAAAATCTGGTGGTATTTTATCGCTACCCCACGACCGGGGTGTGGCTGCTGACGCAATTTGTCCTGTCACGACGTGTTGGAGATGTCCCATCGCACTGATAGCCATGCTTTGCCATGGAAGGTCACGGCTGTTCATGACTGTCCAATTACTGCATAGAGAGAAGCTGAAATTTTCGTCATGTATGCCCTGCGCAAATTACCATAATTTCATACCTCCTAGTGCCTGAATTTAATCGCCCAGGCCATCCACCCCAATTCCCTTGTAGAAACGAGGATGCCTGAGTATCCAGGAACGCAGACCGTTGATGCGTATATCTCGCTCTGCAGAGTATCATTCATTGTCCTATTCGCAATTGCAATCGAGATAATATACCTTACAAAGACTTGTTCCATGTCATATGTCCTTCCCAACATTCGGATATTCGGAGAAAGGTTTAGGATGATATCGCAAGGACATCCTCGGTACCCAACACTGAAACGGGGTCCAAGCGCCTGGATGAGCACTTCCAGAGGAAGGAAGCACCAAGCATAACGATAGCACCGACATCGAATGTCCAAGTGCACCAATGGCTGACATTACTGTCGAGCCCTTCATGGATGCCAGCTGTCCTCATCCACCAGGCAGTGGCAAGGTTTATGTAGATTTGTTTGTTCAGGCTGTGCTCATGGGTGGCGACCCCATATTCCCGAAAAATGGGCCGGTACTAGTCCGTCCGACACCTGCCGAACCTTGGATGGGGACGGAAAGAGGGTGCTTAGATTGGTATAGATCCAGCGAGACACCGCAATCTAGATCATATGCTCCAGTCGGAATAACTGACCCCAGTATTAATACTTGTGCGTGTGCCGTTCACGACGTGTTCTAGGAATTGGCAAGAGCATGATGTCGCTGAGCACACAGACAATAAATACTTCGCAATAAATACTTCGAAGATATATTCTTAGATCGGTATCCTAGTCTGCCTGCCTGCTCACATTAATGTACATATCCCATTGTTCAATGACACCCGCTCTCATGCAGCCGGCTCAACGTAGGGGTGAGCATGTCCAATAGTCTGATAACTTCTGGTTTCAAGAGGAAGTCAGACAAGTCGGTACTGAAAGTAGATGGCTAGTTTTAAGACAAGTCAGCATTTATATTACAACTTGACTTGGCTAGAATCATGCATACCGGCGGTGCGATCTGGTCCAACACAGGCTGACTATCCATGTCCGGTGTTTCAGCCTGGTACTAAGCAGAAATTTTTGGATTGCGCTACCACCAAGTACCGATCAACTCACCTGCATCCCAATAGGTCTACCATTGAGCCAGGGATGAGTTCTTGTGGTCTCGTGTTGGATTCGGTAAGCCTTGCCTTGAGCTTCTTGCTTTGACAGCTGGCTTGTTGTCCCGTCATCTGCCTGGACATGCGCCGCCCACTGCACTTTGGGCTCCCAGTCGAAGAGGTCCCATGGTGTCGTCTCGTATATAGCCTTCCAGACGACTGTGTTCCTGTGGATTGGCATCACCTAGGACATTAGAGGTTCATTGGAACGCACGTATTCTGGCTTTTTCCCTCGCAGATTTCTCTTGCTCTTCCTGATTCAACACTTCCCACGTGGCATCCCAATATGGATCGGGGAGTGCAGGTATGCTGGCATTTTCCCTTGCAGTTCTCTCTTGCTCTTCCTCATCCCACACTACCCACACGGCATCCCAATACGGATCGAAAACGTCTGCAACTAGTTGCCACAGGCTGTTTAGCAAAATGCAAAGCGTCGGACTGTTACCAGATTGACGCACCTTTCATCTGACACCAAGGCTTCCAGCGAGGTGTAGAGTAGAGCCAATTATCACATCGAACAGGCGAGAGATGCGGTGTGCAAGCCAATGAATTCATATTGTACCTTGTCATGTGCTTGCGATCGGAACACGGTAGCTCCCGTGGAAGCATGGTGAGTCATGGCTTTTTCAAATGGCGGGGTTTGCCACCATGGCTGTGCCACTATGTACTCTATTTCATTGCCATACATCGTTGGCCTCCATTCCTCATTCAAATTCTTATTGGGCATGTCAGCAATGACCGCAACCCTGGCTGGACATTTGTCGCCAGAAACGATTGGGAGCGATAGACTCCTTGCCCTCATCCTACCCCACCATGGATCTGCCTCAGTTACCCTTCGACGTGGTGGCTCAAATTATGTCTCTCTCAATACTCACGAATGCCGACCTTTACCGTTGTTTAACCGTGTGCACAGAATGGTACGTCACCAGCGTGCAGCAGTTGCTCCAGGTCATGCGGGTCAATGAAAAATGGGATTGCACTTTCTGGTCACTCTACCTGCAGAGGTGATCAGCTCACGCCAGCTGCATCCATCAAATACGCATTAACGGTCACAACATGCCATTGTCCTCGATCCTCCTCAACGATGTCATCTGCATATGCCCCAGTCTCACCCTATTCCTCGGAGTCGATCTCGATCTCTCCCACTTCCAAAGGCCGGTCTTGTTCCAAAGCCCCATAGAGATCAGGCTGCGGCGATGTAGATTCTGCAGGTCGGGAGCGGGTGCACTGTTCAGCTACTCTGATATCACAAGTCTGACTGTCATCAGTCCTTCCTTCCTTACCGCCGATGTGCCCGGTCGTGTTTTGTATGGACCACCTCGTTTAGTGGGCAGCATAACCATGACTTGGGCTACACTCCGTGACATGATGGAATTATTCGCTTGCTTGCCACCATGAATGATCGTGTTCGAGATGGTTGAACTGGACGTCGTCTCAGCCGACAATTGGGAGCTCCATGGTGCACGCATTGTTGTACCCATGCTGGGGAGCGCTGTGAAGCGATTGCTTATACACGCTGTTGGTACGTTTCTCCATAGCCTAGGTGTCTGTTCTACATGCTGATGTTTGCGTAGAGACCTTCCCACCCGTTCCCATGTTTATCGACCTGTCGAACCTGGTGTCGCTTGAATGGTTCGCATTTATGTCAGGCGAGATCAGCCTGACGTCTGCTCTCAACATGTTGCACTCCATACCGGCACACACGCCTCTCCGTCATGTAACTCTTGCAGTGGCAACCTTCATCGACCCTACATGGGGACACATTCCTACATCCTTGGTCAGGTTCAGGCGGAAAATCCAGATGTGCATCGCTTATCGTGCTCTCCCTGCCAACAGAGATGTCGTCAACACATCATCCTTAGTTAACGTGTCCTATGGTACATATGCAGAGGTGTGGGATTACATGTAAGTGGTCTCAGGTCCTTGGGCCCAATCTCGAAGCTCAAACATCAACTTGATTCTTCTTTTAGTGTGAAAAGAGCTCTTGGTGACTATGAGTTATAGTGATACCTTCAAAACGTATTGCCAAGAATAGAGAATGCAATGTTACTATGTCATTTCACATGTTTAGCAATGAATCCAACTGCTTAGCTTAACGGGTGTTCACGCACAGTGGATACGTATACATGTCCATGCCATGTCCAACTGGAACGACTCTTCCAAAAAATGCACATCCCTGAAACTCGCACCATGGGGCTTTGTTGAAGTATGTTTGGCTGACATGTCAAAAGGGAATCTTATGGGATGTTATCATTTGCAAAGGCCTCTTGGCTTTATCCGACCAACTACGTCTTTGCTAGATGCGCACACACCAACAACCTTCGTAACAAAATGCTAGGCTATGACGAGTTTGAAAAAAGCTTGTACAGGTAAGTATACAGAATAAGGAACATCTACAGTGTATGCTGATTTGGACGCAGAGAAACACTTATATGTGCGATCGTTCACTCTGAAGCGTCTTGGGTACCGCACATGGTGCGCAAGCCCTTTCAGATCATGGTTTACACCACAGTGCAGCGCTTTTCCGACGAGGCTAGCGGCTGGGGACCAGGGGGGGAGACGAAGGAGAGGGTGACTTTGAGGGTGTGGGTTAAAGTGGAGCTGGATGTCGAGGAGTCGGTGGAGGACCGTGGTCTTGAATCATGAGGAAAGCTTGACCATGCTTGAGTACTTGAGTGCTGAAGCTAAGCGCCGAGATCTAGATCTGAGATATGGGGGCTTTTTGGGGCGATCTTACATATGATACATGTATAGGCATCTGTGACATCATTTGCCTGGTGCTGACAAAGCCACTCCAACATGCGATCTCTGATTTCCAACCTTGGCTCCTACCCCTCGAGCTACTCCTCAATCTCGCGATTTGTCATTACCTGGCGGAACAGTAATATCCTGCCATATCCGCTTGGACACTGTCAGCAGATCCCATTCGCCTCCATCCCAATCGGCCCCAGTGAAACCCAAATTGCGACAGTTGTCTAATCCTTGCTTGCCTTAAGGTCGAGAAAACGCGGGGGTCCTCGGTTAACAAACACCCATCATGGCTCGCTCTCGAAGGATTGTTGACCTCTCTGGTGTTCACCACAGCTTTAACAGGTGCCTGGCAGATTCTCCCTCTATGGAACACCCCATTTCCCAGAGTGCGGCTCACCAGGGGACTACCACCGTTGGGGTCGAGCCTGGCGATACTCTTTCTGAAAGAATTCGTGTCCTCGACCACATGCGTAGCGAGCTTTGCCAATCTAGCTCATGTCGAGCTACGGTTGAAGGAGGTACGTGCCATTCTTGATGTGGGAGCTCTTCAGACTAAGTGTCTTGTTTGTAGATGCAAGCAGGAGAGAGACGCTGTTCGAGCACGAGTTCTCCAGTTGGAGGAGGCAGCGTTGAACCGCGAAGCAGCAGTGACCTCCCTCACCAATTGATTGTTTACTGCCATAAAGGCTCAAGAGGTAGCGGAAGCTCGAGTTCACAAGGTTGAGCGGGAGACATTGTCTTATCGAGAGCCGCCGTCGTCCATCGCAAATGGAGCCCTGACCGCACGGAACAGTCAACAGGACGACAACAACAATATGGGACCCCTTGTTCACCATGAGGTAAAAGGTTCTGTTTTCTTCACTGTGGTGTGTTTAACAGGTGTCGTCTTGTTACGGTTATTCTTTTCTTTTTTCCTTTCCTTTTCTTTTCTTTTCTTTTTCTTACGTGTTTACGCTTACGCTATGTTGCGATCTTGATCGGACGTTGCTGCGGTATTATTTTTAACCTACGCAACGTGTATTTAAGTAGAGCCTCAGCTGGTCTAAACCCCAGCTTCGGCTAAGGTTTAATCTACCTAACATCGAACTCCGTTCTTCGTGACTATCTGTCCCATCGACTTGAGTCGCCTTTGACTTGCTTGCGTATCGTCTACCGAAGTGCGAGTAGCGATCCAAGCATGATCTAAGTTGATAAGAGTTAGTGGCTAACATTTAGCCGAAGCTCGTCCTACGTTGCCCAACACACTTGCTGTTGCCCAACATACTCTTCTTGATCGCCATTATCCTTCTTGCGGACCTTGTTCTGCAGTTCCTACTCCTTGACCCCCTAGGTTTGGTCTTTGTGGCCATCCTAAACGTTGTCATCGCCTGCGTATATCTCCCAACCCCGGTAGTTGCAGGAATTCTCCTGTTCTTCTGGGTCGGATTTCTACGTCATTTCTAAAAACACGCAACCCTTCGTTCTCGCCCTTCAGCTCGCCTCGATACTGACAATCCTGTTGTTGGTATTAACGAGCACATCCGACACTGAAACCTGCGAAATCTCGTTAATGAACGGTTCCAATTACGAGACCGACCTTAGCCTGATTATCGCCCTCTTGATCGTGCTTACCATCCTAGCGATCTATCAGCTTGCATGGTCAATCGTCGACCTACGCAGCGGATAGATTCACTCACGGATGCCCTGGTCCGACGCCATTCCCACAATCTTCGTAACTTTTATCGCCTTTTTCTTATCCATTTCTTTATACTACACACTCCGCTGCTGCCGACAACAGAGAAGGGTTCGACCTCAACTTCCCTTCCACTACGTGCCCAGCGCACCCGCATACCCGCCGCCGGTGATCGATATCCCCGTGGCTTCTCAGCAAACTCTACCAACCTCAGAACCCCTGCAGCTAGAGCTACACTCTCTCTATGGAGAGTCCCTCTACGGATCGTCGCGACCCAACTCGCGATCCTCAGAGTCGAGCACCGACTCCTACAGAAGCACCACCAACGAAACAACCGACTCCGTCGACATCACCGATACCCGGGGGGTACTCCTCGACCGAGGAGACTCGCCCCTACCAGGCCTCTTCGACCAGTCTCCAGTCGAAGGCGAGTCAAGTCCCGACGGAGGCCGAGGACAAGGCACCAGGAATCTGGTCGAGGGCAAAGAAAGCGTTGACCCCGAGCAAGGGGACGAGCTCACCGAGTGGGAACAGACCCGACTCGACGAGCTCCTCGACGACCTCTACCTGAACACGGAGGAAGATGCAGCCCATACCGGAGATAACTGGAGCGGGAGGTCGTCCACAAAGTGGGTTGACGCAAACTGGGGAGACCCAGACCTCGGAGCAGAGCGAAGGAGGTTTATTCAGAGGCAAGAGGATGACTACGACAGCGATTCCGGAGAGCTTGGCCTCGGAGCCTCCGCATCTACCACCCGTACAGATGGGTCACAGCCTGTTTCAGGCTCCTGGCCAACCGATCGGGGAGAGCCAGTTGGCTGGCACATTAGGACCGGGTGGGTCTACGCCGACCGGAGGGAAGAGACTCCTGTGGCCAGAGTCTCGCCCAGAGACGAGCCCGACCCGATCCCTGAGAGGCCCGAGACCTCCGAGGTCATCTCCACCGTCGCCCCGCACGAGCAGACGGATAGGGAGCTTTGGAGCGAGTTCCCAGACCTCGACGCCGAGGAACTTGGAGCAATTACCGTTTCCGAGCGTCTCGCCGGAGTCCCCGATTGGGAACCGTCGGTCTCCTCGCGAGCCTTCGCCGACCCCGTCCCTGAAACCCAGCGTCCTTGGACGCTCCTCTATCACACGCTCGTCGAGTCGCTCGAGCTACCGCGAAATGCCAGGGAGTCCCCAGCCGTTCAGGCCCGAATGGACAGAGGACGAGCGCAGGACGCACGCACTCGACGCGCCGAAGAGGATGCCCTCCAAGGAGGAGCTTGGCAAGACCTACCCCTCGAGCCCGACGCCACCAACGCTGAGGTCGAGAACAGAATCCGTGCCGCCGCCGTCCAATACTCAGGCGCGGTACGAAGGGCCGGTCTTGACCTCGAGGCTAAGCGAAGAGCCTGGAACTCCTACCAGGCCGAGATCAGCGACGAGGACTCGGACATCGCCAGGTGGAGGCGGAACCGAGCAATTGACCAACGAGCCAGGCTCGCCCGGGAGAGGAAGGAGGCCCAGGACGCCGAGTCAGCCGCCCAGCAGCACCCTCGAGACGGAAGTAATGACGGCGGTACGGACCCTCCTGGTCCACCCGCATCACCCTCGCCCAACGATATTTAAGATTCTACCATGGCACGGGCTGTACGAAATCATGATGGAAGATATGGAGAAAGATTCCCAGTGGCTGCTTACGGAGGCGGGCGAGGACTATCGGTCCGCCAAAACGTTGGGAGATGTGTACTTGATGAAGAACATCCTGGAAGTAGAGACGTGGCATCGGGCTGCGTTAGTCTGGAACATCGCAAACCCTGAAGTACCGCAACAAGGCTGCGAGCCATACTGACAGCCCCAACCCATGCCTAATCCTCTTGCAACGGAAGAGTTTTGGGCAGGGGCTGGACCGGACGATGATGAAATGGACGATCCAGGCGCTGGACCCTCGGACAAGGGAAAGCAACCTGCTTTCCCGCCGCACCCGATGCCGCCGCCTCAACCACCTCGGCAACCCCCTAGTTACCCCGGCGGGTATCCCCCGCCGGGCGACAACTATCGCCTCCGTTCGCTCCCAAGGCCGCCGAATCCGCCAGTTCCCCCTTCAATCCCCTCCCCTCCGGACCCCATTCCACCCTGGGCACTAGCCGGGGGAAAAGAGAACAACCCCTGGAACGACGTGAAGCCCAAATTGATCACGCAACCGGAATACTTTACGGGGGAAGCCACCGATATTAATCGGTTCCTTCATCACTGTGAAATGTATTTTCAGGTCTTTCCGATGCACTTCACGATGAATAGCCAGGGGCAAAACCCTTATAGGATTACATTCGCGCAAGGGTACCTACGGGAAAGAGCGAAGGAATGGTGGGGCGACCAATACTATCGGTACAGGGACGAACACGGGCACTGGAGGTTCCCCACTTGGGCGGAATTCTCCGAGGACCTAACCAGGGAATTCAGAGAAGTAGCAGAGCTCGCAATCTGGAAGGCAGAGTGGAAGAAGGTCCGACAAGCGGACTTCAAATCCGCAGTCGAATTCTTCGCAAAGTTCGAGCGGCTGGCCCACAAGTGCGGAGAGTTCCATGATGAGAAACAGATGTTCGAAGCAGTGGAAGTAGCCATCCGGCAGACGGTGCGAAAGATGGTTATGCATGGGGACAACGAGCGCCCCACGACCTACGCACAATGGAAGGCGCGAGTCCTAAGGATCGACGCCAACTACAGGTACGACTTGGCCCAGGGCCTCGCCAATAAGACCTCCCCGAACCAGAGCGGTTCAGGTCGAGGCAACCAATCGAAGGGATCAGGTGGCGATAAGAGGGACGCCACGGGAACCACATACGGTGGTGCCGGGCAGCCGATGGAAATCGACAAGCTCCGGTCCGATAAGCGGTGCTTTAAGTGCGGAAATACGGGGTGGAGCCCAAAGCATAAATGCCCCGACGACAAGTCGAAGTGGCTTCCCGTTAAACTCCCCCCTCGCAAAAAGCCCAACGTCGCCCGCCTCCGCCAACTCCTTGCTGAAGCCGAAAAAGAAGACTTAGGAAAGGATACGAAGATCGAGGAGGTCAAGGACGAGAAGGAGAAGTCGTCAAAAGACGAGCCGGCGTCGAAGTAAGCGATTCGACGGCGTCAGCAAAGGACTCAATTTCATCTGGTGCGCGCTCTTGTACTATTAATCGGACTTATACTACGCATGTAGGTACTCCATATGACCAATATACCAACTTTTTCGCCGCGTTACCAGTAGAAGAAATTAAGAATGAAGAATCGCAAAACGCTCATGGCGTAGGAGGGGATTCCCGCTGTCCTACGCAACCAGCGATGGACAATGAACCCCTAGGGGCTGGTCCACCTCTGACACCCCCGCCTGACCGAACGGGGAAAGTTCTGGAGTACCCAGCAAGCGCCTCAGGTCAGGACAAGATGGACGCCAGACGTGGTGGTCGTCGCCCCGGCAGGGAGAATCGGCCGACGACTCCGACGGGTGGGCCTTCCCTACAGGTTGTTCCTCCCGCCAACGGTGGCAAAGCAGCTGAGGCCGGGATTCGAGGGGACCACCTACATTTAGTAGTGGACTCATCCGCAAACGATGCCGACCCCCTCGATGAGCCAATACGTGTGCGGTTACCTAGAGTTTCCGAGAGTACCGCCGGCGTTAGGAATGAGGATAAGTACAGGATCGTCGTAGAGGTTACAACGCCGCACCCAAGCGCCCTTGGCCGGGGCCGAACACAGGGCAGCGAGCCCTCCTCTACCCACTCGTCGGAAGGTGACCAAATGCCGCCGAGGGGCCTTATCGACCGGCCCGGCGACCAACTGCCGCTCACGAGTACAAGACCACGAGTATCTGTGGAAGAAGTCGAAGACGAAGAAGCCCATTTACGGTCCGACATCCCGACGACCGTGCATAAGGGGAAGTCTCCTACGACCCCCGAACCAACGTTGAAGGACGAAAATCGAAAACCCGTCCTCG